TATTTTTTAATTATTTATTATATTTTAAAGGATTATAATATTTTAATAAAAGGGGGGTATAAGAACAATATAATAATTATTATTTATTTTTAACTTTATCCTATTCTTTATTTATTTAAACTTTTTAAATAGTTTATTTTTATATTATATAGTTTATATAGTTAGGATTTTGGTTTTATTTAAGTTAAGTATAGTTTAAGGTAATATAGCCTGGTTAACTATAATTAAAATAAACTATTCCTTTATAGTTTTTTTAATTTGGTTTATTTCCGTTATTACTTTATAAATAATTTAAAAAAGCTTTAAAGGGGGGTTAACTTTTTAAAATAAAGTTATTAAGTTAATAGTTTTTTTAATAATTAAAACCTTAAGAACATTAATAATAGCTATTATTATTATTTCTTTAATAGCTATAATTATTATTATTACTTTAATAATTATTATTATTACTATTACCTTTATAATTATTAATATAATTATAATTTAAATTACTATTATAACTATTATTATTATATCCTTTATATTTATTTTTATAATTATTATTATTAATAGTTTAGCTATTACTTTAGCTTTAGTTTATATTTATAAATGGTTTATTATTAATTTAAGTATTTTTTAATTTAAGCCTTTTTTTTTTATAATTGGCCTATTAGTTTTTATTTATTAATTTTTAATATTATTATATTATATTAATTATTTTAATCCTAGTTTTTAATAAAGGGTTATAAAAATTTATTAATTCCTTTTATAGGGGTTTACTTAATTTTTAATAGTATAATAAAGCTTTTTTACCTTTACTTTATTTTAAGTTTTAACTTTTAATGTTAATTAGGTATTAGTTAAAAAGTTTTAAGTTTTAATTAATATATTATATAGCTTTTTTAAATTATATATTAATGCTAGCCTATAGGAAGAATAATTAGTATAATAAGGTTTTAATTTAATTTAAAAATATATTTTAATTAAATTCTATTTATTTCCTTTTTATATATTTAAACCTTTTTTTTATAATTTAATATATATTCTTATAATCCTTATTTATTTTATTATATATATAAAGAATTTTAAGGGTATTAATTTTAAATTTATAATTAACTTTATAAAATATAGTTTTTAATTCTTTTATTTATTTTAATTATTTTAAATAGGTAAATTCTATATTAAAGGGGTTATAGTTAAACTTAAAAAGCTAATTTAAATTAACTTTTTTAAAGGAATAACGTTTATAATAATATATATAATTTAAATATAATTAATATATATAATTATTTTAATTATACTTTATATTAAAGCTAAATAATAAAGGGTTATTATTATTAGGATTACCCTTTTTTTAGTCTTAATAGTATTATTAATTGTTAGGGGTTTATAAATTATTAAGGTTAAAGTAATACTTTAACTTATTTAAACTTAATATTTTTAAATTTTCTTTTCTTTTATTCGAATATAATTTAAAAGGGGTATAGGTTACCTTTAAACTTTAAGTAACCTTCTTTCCTTTAAGAAGTTATTTCTTTAGCTTTATAATTTTAATTAAAAGTTAAGCATTTATTTATTATAATAATTAAATGTTAGCTTTATTTATTAGGTTAGGATTATTAAAAGATTTTAATAGTTAATTTTAGGTTTATTATTTTTTTGGAAACAAATTATATTAGCTTTATCTTTAAGCTATTATTAAAAACTTTCCTTAATTTAAGTTTTTTAAAAGAATGCTAGCTTTAATTATTTATTTATATATAAATATATTATAATTAATAATATTATAGGTAACCTTAAAGGGAAGCTTTAAAATTATTATAGGTAGGTTAAATTTTAAAGGTTAAATATAATGTTATAAATCTTTTTAATCTTATAATAAATATTTAATAAAATTAAAGCTTAAAGAAGGGAAGAATTTCCTTTAAAGCATATATAGAAAGGGTATATAATATATATAAAGTATATATATTCCAAAGGCCTTAGGATACTGTAATATAATAATATTATTAACTTTAAATACGTTAACGGTGCCTTTCCAATTAATATTAATACCTTTTTCAATTATTTTAATAATCCTATAATAGCTTTAATTAAACCCTATAATATTTATAACGCTAATAAGTTTGGAGTTTTTTTAAGCTATAAAAAGAATAGTATAATAATTAATAAAGCTTATAAAAAGGTTATTTATATAAAAGGACTATATAATTTTAAATAGGTAATAATATTAATAGCAATTAATACTATTAATAAACCTATACTATCTCTTATTATTTTTATTAATAAGTCCATTTAAAAATAATAGTTTCCTAGTTAACTAAATAGCTATTATTATAATTAGCACTTTACCTATTTATTTAAGGGCTAAACTAATTAAGAAATAGCTTTACAATAGTTAAATAAGGTATTTATTTTAAATATATAATTAAAAAACCCCTTTAAATAAAAGCTTTTAATCCTTAATAGCTATAATAATTATATAACTATTGAATTTATAACTTAATACCTTTTAAACTATATATACCTTATTTTTTTACCTTTATATTTATTTTATATACTTTAGCTATATAATTTAGGCCCGTTTTTAATAATTAAATATATATATAAAAAGATTTTAATAGATATTTATATTAAATGCTATTAATTATACTTAAGTAAGCTAAAATTCCTTAAAGCCTTTATAATAACTTATTAAAAGGTAATAATGCTTAAAAATATCCTTGTTAAGTTTAAGGCTATTAATATATAGCTTTATAATTAATTAAAAGCTTTAAATTTATAGCTTATATAGGGTAATAAACTAAACAATTTAAAAGAAATAATAAAAATGCTTATTATATAAAAAAAAATACTAAATTTCTATAATAACGCATCTCCCACTTGACCTGGCCACCCCCCTAGCCCATACAAATAACGTCGGTGCACTAATCACGTGATATTTTAATAACTCTATAAATACTAATCGTATAAAATAATAAAGTATACCATTGAATTCGTAATGAAAAGAGCTTTTTAACGGTACCCTTTACTAAATTTTATAATTTATATTCGCGGAGTTATTAAGCAATACGCTAAAGTAAGCGCTAAATTAATCCTTGCTTAGCGCCCCGTTAGCGTATTGCTTAATATCTCGCTTAATAAATTTTATAAAAAATAGTAAAAAATACCGTTGGATTTCCCTTTAAATAACGAATTTAACGGTACTAATTATTAAATTATACGATCAGTATCCGTAAAGTTATTAAAGATTGAAACAATGGGATTTTATATAGGTTATTGGGGTGGCCAGGTTAATTGGGTGGCCAGGTCAAGTGGGAGATGCGTTATCTTTAATCTTATACCTATTTTAATATTTTAAAGTTTATAGTAATTAATTATAATTATAAAAACTATATAATCTAATATACTAGGCCTTAATAAGCCTACCTTTCGTATATTATTCCAAAAGGTTAATAAAAGCCTTAACCTTTAAAGTATTAAAATAGTTAAATTAAAGCGAAGAAATAATAAATTAAAGGCTTAATTATAATATTTACAGTTTTATAAGCAAAAATAAATAATTTTAAACCTAAATAAATCGTTTATTAATATTTAAACGGTTTTAAAGAGTAAGGGTATTTAACGAATATTAGAAAAGCAGGCCCCTATAATAACTATACCAAAAAATAATAAAAAAATAATAGATTTAAGCTTTAAAAGTAATAAAGAGGTATAAAATTACATTATAGTTATAATACCGCTATAAACAATAAATTAGCTTCATTGGTTATTAAGATATTAGCTATAGAAGTTAAATGGCGTGCTAAAGTAAGGCTTCGTTTTAGGTGGGTTGATTGTGGGGTAGTTCGTAGGTGGGTGGTTAGGCTTATAGATAAACTCGAAATGCACAGAACTAAAATTTAAGGCAGTCTTTCGGGATAGCGCGGCAGAATTAACATTAAAACTACCTCGTTCCCGGAACAAATGCTCTGATCATAGCCGCCATGACATAAACACAGGAGCCTGCCTTATTGCCAAGACTTGGAGAAAAAGCGGTCGAACTAGTTGAACGAACCGAAAGACTCTTTTCGGGGGAGATTGTGCCACTAAGTCCTCGAACACGAGCGATGACTTGCATAAAACCGACCGGGGCAATGAACATAGAGACTTTGTTTCCAATTAGATTTTTGGAACGAGTAGTACAGAGTTCGGCCACGAAACGGCGGTTTTCGACTACTTCGGAAACTGGAAGGTCATTACCGCTTATCCCGCGAGTGAATCACATATCTCATTCTTGGTCGAAGCTTCAAGCTGACGCTTAATTAAACAGGATACCATCGCGAGGAAGCTCCAGGTTCTACTAATGTTTTCAGCCCCACGGCCGGCAAATAATTATCGGCATCGCTCTTGGTACAATCAAGGGCGGTGATAGGCTCGTACTTCCACTTTGGGAGACAGTTAGGGGTAAGATAGATGCCAAAGACACCACACCTAAGAAGTCACCCGCTCTCATTATAAAAGAGCGAAAAGAGGATAAGTTAACATTTCACTAGTTTATGCACTTGAATAGATGTGGGGGCGGGGCTCCATGCATTCAATGTGCGAAATGATATATAATCCGGATAAAAAGCAGAGAACCCTACTTATAACAGAAGATCTCGGGGAAGGGAGAAGATGGGATCCCTAAAGGAGTTAATAGATTTTCGTTGGCAAGGTTCAGAGGGCCTTCAGCACGACAGTCACCAAGAACATACCTCGATGGTTGGGATATGCTTAAAGTCTTATGCTAAAAGAAAAGGACAAGGCTAGACGTGCAGTATTCAGGTGGTGTCATTTGCACACTGTATGCATCGGAAAACATACCAAAATCGGGGTCTGGGCCATGACAGGTTGTCGGGGGGGATAAGTAGGTTTTGTCAGCAATGTCCTCTTCCTCTCCCCTAAAAATGCAGTGAAAGCCGGCTGTCGTATAAAACCAATCCTTATCTAATCTGATCACTCTAGATTCTCTCTTCCCTCTTGCTAAACATGCAGTGAAACAAGCCACCAGTTTCCACGCGAAGACGTGAGTGGATTTAGATGGCCGAATATGCCATTAGAAAGATAGAAGGGACATTGCTTCTGAATGGTACGACATTGTCGCAACAAGTGGCGAAGCTCTCGACGCGATCTGCCAGAAATTCATACGTGAAAGAACGGAGAAATACTCGTAATAACGGCAAGCTATTAGATGAGAGACTCCAATTTTTAGGAGTTAAGTATTTATTCAAGACGCTGCGTGTGGTTAACTGTGATAGCTAAGACAGGGCAGTGGAGAGAGGCTGTGCCTGACATAATCTATATTCAGATCACGATTGCAGAATTGTATCATAATTACTAATATTCTCTTAACGATAGTTCACTCTCAATTATCTAGGGATATACGAACATAAGACTTTCTGACTCTAGTTCACTCCTCGTCGTAGATGGACTCTCGTGAAATGCAGTAAATGATTATCCTCCCAATAGCATCAGACGTGTGACGCGCAAGAATTCAAGACACAGTGATTCCAATCAGCATCAATTCGGTATTAGCCAACCAGAATCTCTAATCGCCTTGAGAATTTACAATCCAGGACACTACGCCCATTTACCCAGCAGCCCCATGAGAACCATACCAGCCACAAGACCGACCCCTCCGAGCACTGTAGTCGAGGTCTTAGCATCCTCTAGCTCGCCGCCAAACAACCAGTCCGTAGCCCACATCTCAACTACACCAACCCACAAGAGAATGCCAGCAGACAAGGCATCCAATGTACCGATAGCGACCACAGTACTGGGATCATTTCCATTGAACGAGTGCAGCACGCCAATGCCAATCGCCATGCCGACGGGCGTGACGAGGGCAAAGGCCGTGGCCATAGACAGCTTCTCCCACATGCTCAGGGGCTGCCAGACGCCTTCTGCGCTATTCAACGAGGAGTGGGGTTCGACAGTTGTTTGGGGCGACATTTTATTTAATGCGGACGTAGATGCGTCCAAGGCAGGTTCCGCGTGCTTGCCCAGGCGGCCGGCAGTCGCGATGCGGGAACCGAGGGCGATGCCCTCAAAGGCCTGATGGAATACGATGACGACGAAGAGCGTGATGAAGACGCTGTCGCCGGCGACGACGAGGGTGAGCCCGACGACTGTCGCAAAGTTAGTACTAGGACAATTGTATTTGCTTTGTGTTGAGAGAAGCGGTGTTAAAACTCACGGAGCGAATGGAAGATGATTCCGGCTTCAAGAACCAATACGCTGACAATGTCGTTGGAGTCAGGGGTCTTGGACCAGTATTTCCGCGCGACGCGGTGGCTGATGTGCTCGACTAGGAAGGCGATGAACATGCCGGCTAGGACGATGGCGGCGGTTACTGCTTCGTATTCAAGCTCGCCGAGACACGGGTTTGTGAACATGAGATTCGCGTGGGTCAAGAGCTACGGTGTACGTCGTCAGTTTCCGAAGCATTCTTCACACGTCTGATGTGGAGTCGTGGGAATGGGTGCCACTTACGTGAATCAGTGCTGTAGCAATAATAACGCCGGTGCCGAACTGTTTCAGTAATACGAAGATGTCCTGGAATCTCTCTGGCAACAGTGGCTTGAGGAAGATGGGTATTGCGACACCTGTACTTTTCTGTTAGTTGCTGTGGTAATAGATTTTAGGCCCAGGTTGGGGAGACTTACCGATCAAGCTCGTTATCAGCATGACGAAGACGAGACCGATTCTGAGTGGAATGTTGTAGTCACGGTCACGGCGCGAACATTGGACCTCGCCATGTTCGGAGTCGCCAGGGCAATGCCTGGGGATATGAAGTTAGTGCTGCATCGAGTGCTGTTCGAATCAGGGATACGAAGGTCGAACTCACTCTATGCCGGCGTGGAAATGACAGTGTTCATCCTCGCTATGTTCCTCTTCGGCGTGGTCGTGGTCGTGATCATGGTCATGGTCAGCATCGTTGGCTTCGACCAGGACCTCGACCTCTACATCGTTATCGCCAAAACAGAAGCTATTTTGGTTATCAGCTCTAAATGTGTCGTTTTCGAAAGGCACAGCAAGAACAGCTTACATTTCGCTCTCGTGTGCGTGGCAGCCCGTGTATGTTGGTTGTATTTCACCCGTCGCATCCGGTGGTACAATAACCTCGTACTCGTCTGTGCCTACGTAGCAAAAACTGCATGTTTGTCAGTTTCGGCAATCAAGACACTGGAGAATTCGGAATGGTTTACACTTCATCATCATGAGCATGGCAACCGGTGATTTCGGTGAAGTCAGCCGCGCGCCGTGTGATAGTCGTGGTGGCCGTGATTATTGCAGCAGACGGATCTTCTCTGTGCGGTAAAAACGCGGCAACTGCGCCGTGTAATACATTGGCAGAGAGACACAGGGCCAACGAAGCGGCAGCTGCATGAACCCGAACCATATTTCTACCTTTGAAATACGATCACGATATAGGATGAGAAGTAATAGTATGGCTGTATAACTGGGAGAAGGCTATCTATCTCCGACGCCTCGGTGGACATATATATGTATGTATGTCAACCGCGATCCGGGCGACCAAATGTAGGTCTGTGGGGATGCCGGCAGGACCAATCCAACACTGCTCGCCTCCCAGCCCAGACATAATGGGCGAAGCGGCACCACACCTGACGGCCATCAAGGTCCTCATCCATCAAGGTCCTTGTTGTCGACAGTTTTCACTTCTAGTGCTGCCTCAAGGCGCTTGGCGCGCTTGGCGGCTAAGGAAAAACCGCACAGATGCCACCATTCACCGAGTCTGTGTGGGCTTGAAAGTCACCCATTTGCTCATTTTCTCTCGCTATTAGTTATGCCTTGTCATCCTGGAGGGATTATCATTGGTATTACTGTTGGTAAGCTCATTCGTGCAAGTTTGTGTTGGTGGAGATTCAGAGTTATGGTTCCAACCTAACATCCCACGCCCTAGACCTCGATTCTCCCAATGCAGAATTTCGCTTGGTAGGTAGGACTGATTCTATGTTGGATGTAGTGTATTACCTGAGAAGTAATTCATTGTCTGAGAGATACTTCCACACGATATAGGCCGTGCTTTACCAATCAGTTATCAGAGAATCTGAAATATGAAGACTACATGTTTAGCAGACCATCAAGGTTATGTGATCCTAAAACAATTCTGTATCTTATATCTTTTGGACTGTAGTGTATCTATCTTCGGCTCTCGGATTTGATTTCAGTAATTAAAATTTCTTTTACCCAATCTTCGTTTCTAACAAAACTCGTTCCTTTATAATCCGGACACCTTAATGGCTATTTATATGGAGTATATATCTTGGCTTCTGGTCTGGGCATCGCGTCGCTCCTTGGCTTTCTCTTACCATGTATGTTGATCAGCGGGAACGTGATCGAGAGAGCCAGATCAATAGTCAAAACTTTAGCGCTGTAAGATGTAGTATGCTATGTTTATAATTCCTTTAAGTAATAAGAAACGTTACCTTAAGTTAGGCAGAAATTAAATTTTCCTGCTTAATTGTGAGCTAAGCCAATACCCTCGAGGTAAGAACATTCGGACTGTCGCGAAGAAAATATTCAACAAGGTGCATCAAATCCGTATTTCCTCAAATCGAAATGTTCCAAACTCGCAATTCTCTCAGCCCATCCGTCATTGATTTGCCCTAACTGCCACTGATCACCAATTTCAATCATTTCCATTCTCCCAGCTAACACTTCTTCTTCCATGGGTTGGTATTCCGCCGCTAGGTCTGGGTGCGGCACCCAAATGACCCTCATACCAGCCCGACGTCCCGCTTCAACTCCTATAACACTGTCTTCAAAGACCAAGCACTCTTCGGGAAGAATGGGTCTCTCGCCAGCACCCAGGTCAACGGTTGAATTCAGGGATTCCAGTGCAATGAGATACATATCGGGTGCTGGTTTGCTCCGACCCACACCAACACGAGGGTCATCTCCCAAAACGCGTCTACTAGGCTGAATGAAACCAAGCAGATGACTCGTTGCAGGATTTGATGTCTTGAGTTCAAAAGTTTCACTTGTTGTCGTCGATGCCAATGCTAGCTCAACCGACTGTCTCGTGAAGATATTACAGGCACGGCTGAGGCTCGATAGAATACGTTCGGCGCCGGGCAGTGGCTGACAGTTTGGAAAATTCAGCCGCATCTTGTCCTTGAACTCGCGAGCAAATTGCTCCCGCTGAATGGGAAGTTGTGCCCAGTCATGAAACAAGTCGCCGTTTGTTGACTTTGGAACTCCCATCATCTTAGCTCGGATTGACTTGGGCAATGAAGGTCTCCCGTATTTCAACAAGAGCTGGTCTACGCTTAATGTGATAATATCTTCAGAGTTTATGAGAAGGCCATCCATGTCGAAAATACAGGCACGGATAGGTGGGAAACTATGATATTATCAGTGATCTAGGTCTCTTGAAGTCCATCCTTGAGCAGGGGGAAATATGTGGGTAATTCTTACTCTGTTTGAGGGGAAGCCATGGTGTTACAGGCTATCTCAGTGGTTCTATCATTTGTATAATGCAATGAAGGCGAAGCGGATGTTTTCCTAGTTTAGTTCGTTGTCGGCGAGTTAGGTGGAAGGGGGTTTCAACTACTGGAATTGGCGAGGTTCAGGTCTAGCGGATAGGTAGAAACTGTGACCCGTTGTAAAGCGCGCGCGCCACGTTGCGAATTGATGAGCTACTTGAAAGAGTAGCATCTAGATCAAGCCATCGAATATGCTTGGAATCCGAGAGCTACGCTCATGGCCATCTCAACATCTGAACTTTTTTTATCCTTTCTCAATCTATTGTGTCAACTGGTTCATAATGAAGCCGATGCTACAGGATTCGATATTCGATTGAGGCTTTGCGCGGAATTCTTGGCAATTTGATTAAATCCTATTGGTTATGGAGGACTTAGCTTCTTTTGACGACTATTACTATGTAGACGACACTCGCACAAGTTTTGATTTGCCTATGCCCCCAGCAGTTGGGAAGCCGGAAGACGGCGCAAAATTTTAGCTTAAATCAGTAAGATAAATATTGATATACGTTCTCAATAACTTCATGGACTAAGGCATGAACTTACGAATTCCGGGAATCCCGAAAAAGCTGTCCTTGTCTGATCAAGCTGTTAGACATTAATGTATGGGATAGGCACTTAGCTCCCTGTGCCTTCGGCTTAAGCCGGCTAACAGAAGACAAATAGGAAGCGATTCATATTTCGCAAGTTATCATTTTAGGACGCAGCCTTAATTCTTCCGAAGCCCACCATGCTGCTTCGCAACTTTGTAGTACATGGCTATCTCCCATTACAGTCTGTCCTCAATATTACAAAAACCGTCGCATGACTCCTATAAGTCAGGCAACTGGTGATACCCACCTGAACATGGCAATATGTCATTCCTCTAATAGCCGATTATCATTGACTAAGAAGTTCCTTTCTTTCCACGGCCAGTAGCGATAACCTATGTGTTACTTCTATGCTCTACTGTGTAACACTTCGTAGCACCTATATCTTTCGACCTTCGAGATGGAAGCGCTGGAATACTAGTAACAGCCAGCCTCGTCTTCCATCATTTTGATGATAGACAAATGGACTTTCAACTTCTCGCACCCCCGAACCTTCATTAAGAATAATCCTACAGTAACACGACACAGCTAGCCCACGTCAGTATTATCCTTGTTCCGTACCGTTTAAGATTAATATCCCCCTCACACTCAACGCGTAAATATAAACAATCGCGCTCTACATCCGTGTTACCTAAGCAATACTGATTTGACACAAAGCCTTCTAATCGTGCCAAAAGTAGCACAAAGTATGGAAAGGCAGTGCAATGCAAGGGACGCACAAACATTTCTGCTTTCTGATATTTGTCCTTTATAAAAGCACACAACTTGCCTCCCTTTCCTTCAGAGACAAGCCCATCCACATTCCTTTTCAGAAGTTTGCTCCGCATATAACAAGCAGCGCAAAACAAGTCATACAACTCACTTCAGGTAGGACCCCCAAACTTCAAGATATTCCAGCTTCAATAATAACAACAACTGTAGTCATCGCAGACAGCCATTTCTATTCCGTCCCTTCATTACCTAACAATATTACCACAGCGAGAATGTCAAACTCAACCTCCCGCCCCAAAGACACTAGCAAACCCCTTTTCGGTCCTGTAGAGCCTATCTCTAACAACGACACCAAAGAAACAGAAGACGACATGTTCGTCCTAATCAGCAAGCGGAACTACTGGAAAGACGGCAAACTCGTCTCCAGCTCCGGCGATCCAGAGCCAAAAAAAGAGAAGCCGGGGATCATAGACAAGGATGGATTTGAGACGATAGCTCTCGACGATCCTAAAACCAGTAATAAAAAATGACCAAAAAGAAAAAAGGCCCAGAATTCCGGGGCGAAGTCGAAACTATAGCGGTCCCTTGGTAGAAAAGCGGCACGAATACATGAACATGGAATACGACAACAGATATACACCCCAGGGAGTTCCCTTGGCATATACGACGTAGCAGTGGCCTAGCGAAGGACTGCTGGAAGCCACTTGTGCAACAACGAATGTCATACAGTGCAGTACATACCTCGCTAGCGATTACCACGATAATCACACGACGAGGTATCTGAATACCGCACGGGGCTCAGTGGATATGGAACGAAGATCTGATTAGTCAAGATTTCACAAGAAGGGTTAGGTTATGTTAGGTTAACTTAGATGTGATGAGATTGAGCTTTTTTCTCTAGGCGTCTACGTACAGACCTTATAGGTCCAATTTGATTTACATGGTGTCCCGTAGAAATGCTATGGCTTGGTGGAATATTTATCAAGTGGCACGGAGGGAGGGTCTTAGATGAGGAAAAAGAGTACCGCAGCACGGCATACTCAAGCTACCTAGAATAATTATCTTCTCCCTGATTGAATTCAAAAACACCCAATGACAGTTTTAGTTTAAGAAAGGACGAGGTTGGATCTGCAGTAGGTCCCACACTGGATCTGCAGTATACAGGTGCTTACAGCTGCAACGGCCTGTAGCGCGCCACTAGCGCCGTTTTTTCCACACTATCTACACCTTCCCACACTTACCCCTCTCGCTAACTACTAACCTTCAACAACTCTCACAATCCTTCAATTCCATCACTTCTACAACTCTTCATCACCTTTAGCACTTCGTGGAGACGACTCCAACCGGTAGCAACGCCGCTGAGGCTATCGTGATCGTTAATACAGACGATAAAACGGAGTCAGTACGGTCAAAGATTGTTGTGGCAGCTTAGGATAAGCCAGGAACCCAATATTGACGATATTCCAAGTCCAGGTACTACGGAAGTAGAGACCTAAGTAAGCAGCCAATTCAAAAACGAAGCTATAATCTTGATCGCGACTAGTTTGTATGTGATTCGTACGTAAAGTTGTCTAGTTGCAAATTCTCGAACTCAAGGAAACGTGAAACTTAGCGATTTTATTAACGTTGTACTTCTGAAATACATGGCTGAAAAAAGGCACTAGTCAGCAACCCACGACAACCTCACACCTTACAACCCCTGATTTTGGTGGGGTTTTCGAAGTATACAGTGTGCAAATGTCGCAGCCAGCTGAAGTCGGACTGCTACCACCTGTATACTGCAGATCCAGTGTGGGACCTACTGCAGATCCAACCTCGTCCTTAAGAAAGCTAGAGGTGTATAATCAGATCAGAATGTAACTAGATAATTAATCTGTGTCCCTTCACCCCTAACTTTCCTTTTATTTACAATGGATAAAATCTTGTTATAAAGCTTTAACTCTCGTAATCTTTGAAATATAGCGAAAGGTATTTCACATCAGTCTCTTATCCCAACCAATAGCTTAAACCAACTAAGTCTATACACCGTAATAACTACCTATCTATCTGCCTTTCTACGCGCCACGGCAATCCAACGAATTCAATAAAATTGAACCCAGCTCAAAGAATATAACCTTTTAATGACTGTAGCACAATAGACACTTTAAACTAACCACGCATAGCCCTCAAGTAGGTAGTACTCTTCCACATGTCCCTTGCTATCGCCGCGCGGTGTATCCTTGCTTGACCTCGCTACTGTCTCGCATTAACTACAGTGTAGTAGTATTGAGTATATAGGTAGGTAATTACTAGCGGCACCATACAACCCCAATAACACGCAAGCATTACATCTCACTCACCACACACACATACACTTTCTTGACGCAGGAACCACTTAGTTCATACAGACTCGTTCCATCAGGTATTTAATCTTCGCGCGTCTCACAATCGAATAAAAAGAAGTTATAACAACATGCGAGCCCTGACTCGATGGTCTTCATTCATCATTGTAACATGCGGTGTCTACGTACACATGCAAACTATCTATCTGATCTGTCGCACGGCACGAATTTCTTCCGGAATGCCGTCGTTCATAGAAGCATACAAATCTAGCAGCAAATGCTCTAACCACTTGACCCTTCCATCCACCAAACAACACGCGATGACTTCTAAGGCGCACAGCGACCCATGAAACGAGGATACAGGCAGCAATCTCTCACAGTATGCTGGTTGCACAGCCAAGCGAGGAAACGCTCGAGACCTAGACCCCAGCCACCGTGGGGGGAGCTACCGTATCTGCACCAGTTATTAATATCTAGAACTCTTTGGAATCATTCACGTGGGTAATACTTACTTCCGCTGGTCAGTGTACCAGTAGTACGTAGCCGGATCCAGTCCCTCGCGTTTGAACGCCGCCATCAGCGCATCATAGTCATCTAACCTCATCGAGCCACCGACGATCTCGCCAACACCAGGCATGAGGCAGTCCACACTCTCCGTTACACGGTCGTCGTTGGGATCCCGCTGCATGTAGAACGCCTTGATATGGGCCGGGAAGTGAGTCAAGAAGATGGGCTTTCCAATGATATCCGTCATCTTGCGCTCAGCTGCCTCAGCAATGTCGTCGCCGAAGGAATGGGGCTGGCCCTCCTCGTTCTCGATCTTGTGGTCTATTAGCCATTGGATGGCATCCGAGTACTTCATGCGCATGAACGGCCTCTGCGGTAGTGTGAAGTCTGGGTTGAGGGTCTCGATGTAGGCCGCAATGACCGGGTCGGCCATGACGATCTCCAGAACACGGCACATCATGTGCTCTATGTTAGCCAACAGATCGTCGAAAGTGATGAAGTCTAACTCGGCCTCGACGTGTGTAAACTCAGACAAATGCCGTCTCGTCAATGATTTCTCAGCACGGAAGGACTTCTCGATACAGTACACATCGCCCATCGACGGTAAGCAAGTCTCTAGGTAAAGTTGCGACGACTGTGTGAGATAGGCGTCGGCGCCGTAGTAGTCGAACTTAAAGAGGGTAGCTCCTCCTTCAACCTGAGTCTGGACAAGAGCTGGAGGGCTGACTTTGCGGATTCTTAATTCTCTGAATGCCTGAGAGAATGCACCCTCAACAGCATCGCGAACGATCATGATGGAAGAGGCACCTTCACCACGTAGTGTGAGATGGCGAAGGTTGAGAAGGGTGGATCGGTCAGTATCAGCGGTAACTCTGTTGGTGATGGCCTCGTCGCCACCGGCAGCGCGCCAGTAGCTAGGGATCTTGTAGAAGTCGGCGTGCAGCTCGCGGTCGAGAGGGGCTCTCGCGCCGGCGGGGACCTGGCGCATCTCACCGTAGATTTCCATGGATGTCTCACGCGTCAATGTCAAGGCCTCGTAGGTCTTGGCGAGCTTGCCGGAGATGACAACTTGCATGAAGCCATAGCCATCTCTCAGTGTGACGAACAAGACATCCTTCTGTTTACGTTCACGGTGCACGCGACCCAGGACGCGGACACGTGTGCCTTTGCTTTCGGGGTTGTCTAGGCTGCGCAGCTTGATGTGGTCGCCGACGTCGTCCAACTTGATCTTGAGGGGCGCAGGGAGGCTAGCGTCATCCTCGAGCACGATCTCCTTGGCCTTCAACAAGATGGCGTTGCGTTCGTCCTCCTCCTGCTTGCGCTTCGCAGCGAGTTCCTGCTCGCGTGCGGCCTTCTTCTTCTGCTGCTCGTAGTAGTTGACGACCTTCTTTAGGGCCGACTTGGCGGCGGGCTTCCAGACCTTGCCGTCGACGGCATCGGCGTCCCCCTCGGCAGCGGGCGATCGCACGAGGTACTGGGACTCGGCGGGGCGCTGGATATAGGCGAATTGGAGGGTCTTGAAGGGCGAGGTCTCGGAGCCCAATTGGCTGGACTCGTCCTTACCGACGTCTTCGTCGATGTAGATGGACGCCATCGCAGGCGGGTGATGAATTTGGTCTTTGCTGCTGCAAAAAGAGGACTGGTGAATGTGGATTGGCGTTCGATGTGACTGTTTTCTAGGGGCGACGGGAAAAAACACCAAGTGTCGCGATATAATCGGGTGAGTCAGGGCACAGATGTGAAACCCCGCAATCGCATCCCCCTTGAATTCTCCATGAAACTGTTGCGCTGTTGGAGGGGCAGGACAGCTCTTATCTTATCAGCTAGGTTGTCTTATCTACCTATCTAGGTACCTAGGTAGGTACCTAAATAGATGAGAAATAAGCTAAAACACCACTAGATCCCCGACATCGCTATCGCTACCTACTCACATGCAAGGATAATAAGTGTACCTAGTCTTGTATTTACGGGCCCTGATGGGGCAGAGGGTGGTTTACCGCGGTCACGTAAGACTAGGGTCAAGCGGAAGTACCTCGAAGCGAATTCTCGAAAGATACTTCTTCGCAGGATCCATAAACGCTAGCGCGTTAAAAATACCTGACTAGGTACACTTAATCCAACATGGCAGAGTATGTACCTATACCGTATCTACATGCACAGTAGTCTGACTATAGGCTACATCTCCTACCTCTGTCCTACATCACGAATCTTCATGTACGTGTCTAGATCGAGGTGAAAGAGGTGAAGCACTGAAATCATGCGTTTACGACAGTGGCGAAATAGTTCACTTACTTCTATCGACTTGTCAAATGTGAAGCTTTGCTTTCGTCGCCTCGCACTTACAGGTCGACAGTCCTGGTCTGGTCGTTGATCTCACGCACACATGCTTCTGATCATATAAATCACACGAATGGCAACAAATGGTAACAAATGGCAGAAGGCCGATGCTGTTTGTCATGACCTTCTCCGGCCTTGTTTGACCCTGTCGATCTGCTTGTCATTTACAGGCCGAGAGCAAGACAGCGGAAACAGCCAACCACAACAACCACAACCGTCTTACCCACAACAGCTTGAAATTCCGCGTTTCAAGTCCATCAACCACCTCAGCTGCACCTCGATAACTGGATAATGTAATTGGTCCCGGCCGAGATGACCATGTACCCATGTCTGCCCATGCATAGCCTGTCAGTCATGCCGCTAAGGGATCCAAATGCCGATCGCTTGGCGATCACCAGCCCCAAGGCTTCCCCCATCAGGAAGGCCACGCCAGATGATCAGCAGCGCAGCTTGAAGTGCCAGAGTGTTGTTTGCCCTTCGTCTTACGAGCTTGACCGATTATACTGCGGACGCTGGCGCTTGAGAGATTTGCTTTCCGCGGGCATTGACCAATCATCCACGCGCTTCGGAGCCTGTGGTCAGCCCTGGCAGGTGTTCGTCGTGTTTCTCTTATCCAGCCTGATCCATACCGTACTACCTAGTGTCCGATATACATTAGATGTTTCGGTCCAATCCTCTGTTTGGCAGGTGAGTAGATGACCATCTAACGTGCCCCCCTGGATCGGTACGATATGGAGCCCACTTCGGACGCCGAGGAGTGATGGCGGAACGGGTACAAATATCAGAACCGTTGCACAATGTTCAGTCTTGTGTCCTGTCACCTCTTGCCTCAGTTATTTCTTCCAACTTAGGAGTAGCGAGAAACTCCTTCACCCCTTCGTCCGGTTCTGTTTGACACTTCGAGGGCAAGATTAAGGGCAGTTAGTTCATCGAACAACATGGCTTCGAAGATGATCCCAGTAGCCCTTGCGGCACTTCCGCTCGCCTCTGCAGGAAGAATCCCTTCCCTCTTTTCAAACACCACTGCCACATGCTCAAGCCCCATGGATAGCTGCTCGTCAAACGCCGACTCTGCCAACTCTTGCTGCGTCAACACACCCGGCGGCCTATTCCTCCAGCCACAGTTCTGGGACACAGACCCTGTGACTGGGCCCGATGACTCCTGGACAATCCACGGACTATGGCCTGACAACTGTGACGGAACCTACGAGGAAAACTGCGACTCGTCCCGCGAGTACTCTGACTTGACAAGCATTCTCGAGAGCAACGGCAAGTCAGACTTAGTGGACTTCATGAAGGAGTACTGGCAGTCCAACAACGGATCGCCCGAGTCATTCTGGGACCACGAGTGGTCGACACACGGAACATGTGTCAGCACCATCAACCCCGAGTGCTACTCAGATTACACAGAAGGCCAGGAAGCTGCGGACTACTTCCAAGTCGCCGTGGACCTCTTCAAGTCCCTAGATACCTACGGAGCGCTAAGCTCTGCCGGTATCACGCCCTCAAGCTCCCAGACCTACACCTCCAAGGAGATCCTCGACGCTCTCGAGCAAGTCACAGGCATGCCCGTCGTTATCTCCTGCAGCAGTGGTGAGCTGTACCAGGTGTACTACGGATTCTACGTCAATGGACCTTTGCAGAACGGAGACTTCGTCCCTGCTCAAGTTGGTGAGTATCTCTAGCTCCTCGTTTCACATTTATTCCGATTAGCTAATCATCATCCACGTGTAGCTGGCCAAAAGTCCAACTGTCCCGATAGCGGCGTCAAGTACTTGCCCAAGAACTAGATGGCACGCTCTCAAATGTCAAAGGCTACTTAGATGAAAGTCTGCTGGAAACGCAATGGGAGTCGGAAATCATCTACTTGTCACATAAAGGCAGCACACTCTGTATATAGCTCGGTGATGGCCTCGCAGGGGCCTATAGCCCTTACTCAATTCTATGAATTATGACTTATACGTACTGATGATACTGGTGAGAAATATCGACCGAGATGCGACAATGATCCTATGACTAGAGCCCGTGGAGAGCAATTAATTACCCTTTTGTGATGATGGGCTAGGTAGTGAAAGGTCCAAGGTGATTGTATACGCTGTCTCCTATATCCCAATGATCTATACCATGCTTGGTAGGCTCGCCGTAACTAGCGAATTCTGCAAAAGCGTCGGGTATAGTGTCGAATACCCTGATGCCGCATTCATTGCGGTTGGTCGCATATCTCCATTCCCAGGGCTGATTAGAATCGTTTTTGTTGCGGCTGAAAACAACCCAACAGTCTAGGTCCTGGCCATCTCCTATTTGGAATCCTATGGCGGTTTCATACTCCTCGCACGTTTCGTAGTCCGTATACTCTTCCCCATATGGTGGGTCTACCCCGACCTCCGGGGAATTCACTCGACTGGAATCGTACAAGTCGAAGAATGCGCCGTCAACCTGATATGACAACTTAGGTACCCAGATCACGTCGACCTGTTCTGCCAAGAGTCGTAACTCGGAAGGGACGGTGATGCTTTCGCGGACATTCTCTGGCGATTTCTCCTTCAGGCCTGCCTCCACGGCCGAGAAAAACGTATTCCTTCTAGTGATCCTTTCAGCTTCGTCTGAGCCCACCGAGGTGCCGTCGACGATATGCTTGAAATCATCCCATCGCTCGAGCAGCTCGCTTGGTCTGCGTATGTCCAAAGGTTCGCTTTCAAGCAGCTCTTCAAGGGACCCTATACGAAGCCTTTGATAATGCTTTGTGCGCCCATTACTAGGGTTGGACGGCTGGGTGTTCTCGATAACTGGTATGATTTTCTCCAGCACAGGGCGGTTTGCCGATGACCTGACGGCGCGGAACTTTTCAAGGGCTTCAGTTATCTCTTCAGAACTAGAATACATGGTTTCATCTTGTGGTTATGAATGTCAAACCAGAAGATGTGACAGAGAATCAGTTTGTATTAGAGCACGGAATGGCGCAAAGAACGCTTGACATAGCAGGTAGTGGAAAACTGGGAGGGGGGATTCGGGGAAGGGAAAACTAGCCCAAGTTAGGTATTGCATTACCAACATAGCATTGCTGCGGAGTATGGGGGATACGGAGTACCTTGCGCGGTAGCTGGCGAGTAAAGGGAGAAGTTCCGACGGAGAAAATGGAAACAAATTAATTAGATATTTATGGGACTTGGGATTTAACTCTGTTCATGAGAAGGGAATTTGGACTGGGACTCATAGCCTCTTTAAAAGTGCTTTAACCTATGTATTCAGACCTTTCCTAGACTAATAACAGAAAATAAACAATCTTGAGCGGTATAATAACTTGCAGTAGAATGAGACATACGTGTTTCGACTACACAGACAACCGTAATTAGCTATACCAATTGGCGGTACACGATAAAATAGCTCATCTGCCAGCATTAAAATCACTGTTGCAATACAAAACACTACTGTGTACATCTCTATACATTGTGCTATTGTCACAGTACAGTACTATATAGTGAGTGCAGAGACGTCAAGCTCTCGACTTGATAACTCGTCGTTACCTTTTGGTGGCGTAGTGGCATAGTACTGCACTCCTTATGTCGTTCCGTGACAGCTATTAAGGCACAGCCACGCTGGATGCAAACTGATAATTTGTCTAGAAACACTTCGATGCAATTAAACAGGTCAAGTGATAGTGCATCACACGAAGTTAATTAATAGCTGTAATCTCTAACACTCTACGTTAAATGGCCCAGCGGCAAGGACCTGTTGTGGCTGTAAGGCGGCATCTGGTATTCGAAGATCTTGTACGCAATTGTGGTATTTTGTGTAAGAGGCAGTTGATCTCGGAGGTCATGTCGGGTTAGCCTAGGTAATTGCATATATATGTAAGTAAGGAGCGTAGAAGGTAACCTGTACGAGGGGTAAATAGATATTGTGTTCAACAATCAGGCGTATGAATTACAGGTGCGTAGCAGGCCATACAGACTGGCAGTCAAACAGACGGGAGACCCAGCCAATATATAGACCTGGCATCCGGAGGTCCGCCCTATTGGCTCCCGCTCTGCGTAAGAATTGCCCAATTAGGCCATGACTAGATGACGTACTACTAACGGGAGTCAACCTGACTAACAGTTGAAAGGATGTGATAATTCAGATACGCTGCGGACAACGTTCCTGACAAACGCCCGCCCACACCTTAGTAAGGTAACGAGTTCATTGAAGTATTATGGTGTTGGCTAACACATATGAATTTTAATAGATACACTTTTCACGGCAATTACAAAAAAACAAGGTCACAATATCGTGGAGTTATTAATGGTAAAGGTGATAAAGGTAAAGTACTAATGATAACTTCAAATAAGGAGGTGCTAGTCAGGTATAGTTGGGTAGGTATAATAGTAGTAAGTCAATTGCTAAATGTTAGGAGGCTATAAAGAATTATCATAGCAAGGTAACGGGGTATCATTTCATCATTCAAAAAGCCATCTTGGAAAGGAGCTATTTTTGCTGGCACCACCATGTTTACCAAAATGCTGTCCGAGCGTGGAGTCGCTATATGGAGGCCTTCAATGAGCAGGTGCATAACTAGCTAGAATAAAACGGTTTTAATTCGGTGTTAGAGTATATATACGCATAGTGGACCGTTGTTGAGGACGAGAAGACTTTGAATAGCGGTTCTAAGCAATAGGTACGTATGCCCTTCGTATAATAGAGGGAATCTCCTCACTAGCTATTAATATAGCATTTTGACAGAGGTTTTTAAGCTAACCGAGAAAGGGACCGGAATACTATTGTTCCTTCGTCGGGAGATACTTACTCCCTAGTGATTACGCCCGGCGACCTGCCCCGCTCGGGTGATCATGCATCTTACATGTAGATCCAGCAATTACACCTGCGGCCGAACTGGACGCCGACGGTCAGACAGAGACCTAAACGCGGATACTAATCATTGGGTATAGTCAACCATGCCCATTTCAAAGCAGCAAGGGAAAATATCTTGTGGTCTTTGCTTTTCCTCCATACATCATTCACTTGGCCCGCTTAGCGAAGCATTACCTTACTCTCCTGCTGATCAAATTGTTGAAAGTATTGGCGGTCAAGGAGTCACTTCATGTACGCAGTATGGGTCAAGGGGCACGACTATATAAGGAAGTTCCCCCACCTCGCTTAGACGCAATGCTCATATACCTCCCATTTCAGCACACATTATCTATCTCTATAACTTGAACTAAATTCACATCGCGCAAATTGCCGACCCTCTCCATTTCACAATGGCTGGTGAACTTGTTTTGGTAAGATGGAGAAGATAATTACTTGTCGCTTTCAAATCTTATTAATCGGATCTGTATAGATAACCGGCGTGAGCTCTTTTGTGGGCTTTGCTGTGACGTTGTCCACCCTCGAAGCCGGATACCGCATACGCGCCGTAGTAAGACGTGAATCTCAGATCGAGGAGCTTAAGCAGGAACTTCCGAGACAAGGGCAAGTTGAATTCGTCGTGGTTCCTAACCTTGGTGCTGCTGGCGCTTTCGACGATAAACTCGAATCCGTTGATTATATTATCCATGTTGCCTCGCCCGTCACTACCGATGTTAGTCAGTGTAGCCATATGTCGCCGCCTATATGCTAAGAGTATTTTGATGCAGACTGGCAATGTTAAACAGGATCTCCTTGAGCCAGCTAGAGATATAACTCTGTCTTTGCTCACAGCTGCTGTGAAATATCCCCAAATCAAGCGTCTGGTGGTCACTTCCTCGCTTTCGGTATATGTGCCTTATTCGGAGTTCGTCACGGGAAAGTTCTCGCGAGACGTTTTCAGAAGTAAGTCTATACGAGGCTCCCTAATCATTGAACAGGAGCTTGTGATCGTTTAAATCTCAGTGCATCTACACCGCGAGGGTAGCCTTCTTTGGGGATTTGCCTAAGCATAAACGTGGCGCAAGGTCATAGGGGGAAAAGCGAATAAATTATCAAGTCTGACAAGCCAACAAAGCTAAGACAAGTCAGGTGACGATGAGATATGCCACTACAGTGTCAATGATAAATTCCCAATTGGTCTATTCAACTATGCCGCTGGTAAAAGCATCGCCATCGACACAGCCGAAATGTTCCTCAAGTCCAACAATCCATCGTTCGAAACCGTGTTCCTCTTTCCTTCCTTCATATTCGGCCCTAATAAGCTAAGCAAGACAGTGGAGCATTTCAACAAGGGTTCAAATTCAATCCTTCTAAACCACATCCTTGGCAAGTCCAAGAATCCTCTTGTCACCGTGTCTGTCCACATTGACGACGTGGCAAAGGCACATGTCCTCGCTCTCCAGCCATCTGTTCCGGCTGGACGGTACCTTCTCGACAGCGAAGGTCCTACAGCTACGAACTGGTCAGATGCTATGCCGATTGTGAAGAAGTACTATGCAGAGGCTGTGCCCTCGGTTTTCGCCGAAGACGCGAAGCCTTTCGAAATTAAGATGGTGCTCGATAATGCAAAAGCGGAAAAGGCTTTCGGGATCAAGTTCAAGTCTTTTGAACAACAGGTGAAAGATACTGCAGGTTTCTACCTAAGTCTCCTTCCTAACTAAATTTTATCACAACGGCCAAATCGATGTGAAAATGAAACTAGGGGGCAACTCTTTGGGAATGATGGGGTGAGGAGGACTATGTAGCGAGGAGGAAATACTTAAATAGAATCATGCATCCCAGTACTACATTTTGTTGCTCTCTAACTGCTACCTACTTATGCACCCAAACTCATGTGATACTTCCGGACGAAGAATGTGAGCATGATGTCAGATGCAGTTGTAGAGAACCTCACTGTCTGAATTACGCTATCGTATTTCCCCCAAGAGTGATACCTTCGGGTTTCCACGCATGTTCATGGCACTGAAAACAAGTTGGGGCATACTATGTGTGAAAGGGGTGAATACCTAGCGAATAAAGAACTACGAAGATTCGCCTAGCAGGGGACCGGACTATCTGCTACTGAGGTGGAGGGAATGACTCGCTTTTTCGAAAATATGGGATCAGCCCTAACAGTGAACCTCTATGGCTTGCCTGGTAATATTACTACTCACTCTGGAACATACAATTACCTCTGACTCTTGGGGTCTTACGATACTCTGTCACAGTCCAATACTATAATTCCTTTACTTAATTATCCTTCGGCATATTCCGGTATCCCACAAGCGGCTATTACGACTAAGTTATCGCGTGAGGCATTGTTAGACATTGAGTATTACCTGTTATATGTAGCATTTATATGGGTCTTGTGCCTATTAAGTTGCTTAAGCAAGGACAGGACTTCACTTTACCACAGTTTCTGGTGCCTTCAAAGGCTCCTTTCAGGGCCTAAGAAAGGGTGTCCGTGACGCCTTTTTCGAGAAATGAAGTACATATTAATCAATCGTCGCTATAGTAGATAGGTAAATACAACACCAACCACACCCAACCAGTAAAATGTGGGTTTTACGTCTCCTGAGCCATCTCCTGAAGACGGTGTCGAGCTTCCACTGGCACCGGGAGTGCTAGATGAGAATGGCTCGGTCAGAGATGAGCTAGCGCTATCAGCGGGCGAGTAGGTTGATGTTGGCGACGGGTTATATGCGGATGACGGGTCAGGGTCGCCTCCGATATATGGACATGGGTTGCAATCTCTGTATGAGAACCCGCAAGTCTGACCTAGAAGACACGTCCAAGTTGAGCCAGATGAATCTCGGCAGTTCGAGATTCCCGTGCAAGTATGGCTCCCGGAGCTCGAGCTAGAATCGGAACTGGATGGCTTGACGCAGGAAGACTGTTAGATGTAATCTTCAACGTAATCTGGATTTCAATCCTGGTGTATACTCACTGTTGCCGCTGTACCACACTTGGTTGGGTCGCTTGCTGGGCAGCATGCCTCCTCTGATGTCCCTTCGTTGATACAAGTGTAACCATTGGCACAACATCCGCTTCCACAGCAACCTCCAATCGTACAACACCCATCTGTACCAGGACAAGAGAAGGTCGTTATATCACAACCCAGAAGTGGACCAACGGAAATGGTGCCACTTTGAGCTAGGGTGTGGTACACGAGAGGAAGGATAAATAGCACTGCAAGCATCTTGCTAGGCATTTGGCGGGTCCTACGAAATACCAGAGAATCGAACTTGTTCAATGCTAAGATCTGAATACAGGCGATCAGTTGCGCATACTGCATTTTATAGTTTATGAGGTGTTCAGCCAGGTATGATCGTGCCAAACGGGAGGCAAACTTGATAGGCAGCCGGCTCTTCTAGGCCTTTACAAGTTCTCCTGTAGGAACTCATTGTTATTCATCTGAACTTGAATATGTTTCCCCTCGTGATAGAATATCTAACGCTAAATTGCGCCTTCTGTTCTGACTGGCTCAGCCTGACTTCTTCAGCTGTATTCAGCTATTGCTACCACTATCCTGACTAGGCCCCAAAGAGATTCCAGCTCCAAGCCACAACTTAAGTCTAGATGGGGTTCATTATAGATTATCTATGCTTATCTATACACATGTACGTGCCAGAAATGGCGTTTATGCCGTAAATAGATTGGTTTCCCTTGATTGGACTCACATGTAGCTTTCGGGAACACCACGAGCATTTTCAGCCGATGTGCACACAAAATATTGAAGCCTCCAGGACTGAAGATACCTTATATGGGTATACTTCGCCGAAGTCATATTCCTTGCGATTGCTAATCACGTTCAATGACCTTCGTCGGATAACCACGTCGAGAATGGAATGCCGTCGCACTTGTGGTGGCATTCTAAAATTGTCACCTGTTTCATAGCAGTGTATGCGCTATCGCCTCTTATGTCTCAATATTCAGCCCCTTATGCAGATTTTCAGAGGTTGTTCGGTATAGAACCATGCACTTTTCGATCACTTCGGCGCTCATCATTGGCTTCCATAAGGTAGTTTATTAATATTATTTCTTGGGTGAAACTGTCGTAGCGGGAAGCTCAACTGGCATGACAGACAGCTCGTATATCGGCGGCTCCATCTTGTCATATTTATGTACGGGACTCGAGCCCTCAACCTCACTAAAAAAACTGATGCCGGTGTTCGACCTGGCAGGTTCTCGCGTCGAAGTGTCGTACTGTACTGGCAACAATACCTCTTCCCCTCCACCCCTAGCAGCGGCAAGCTCGTTCAATCTTCTCTTGAAATGCATCATCACCCATATTATAGCAGTCGCGAGCCCTAGCACGGTGATGCCGATTCCAATGCCAATCCCAGCCCATGCACCTTGAGATAAACCATTATTCGAGGACGTGTCCATCCCGTCGTTCGGTGCTAAACCAGCTGTGTTCCCGTTGTCTGTCCCATTGCAAACCAAGTTATTTATGACGCGGTCGTGCCACTGTGATACCAGTTTCGAGCAGTTAAAATCGTCATTCCATGCTTCTACGGTGACCGTTCCTGGAATATATATCAACGCTGGGAAAATATTCGGTCCGGCCGTTCTGAAAAGGCATTCTTTTGTCAGTATATACGGGCAAGACTTTAATCAAGAATGACCGAGGAGAAAAAGAAGAAAAGAAAGAATGCGGTTAAGAAAGCGTACGTATTGATGATCCCTCGCAGGTGTATATTCTCAGCCCTCTCAAGGTTCGAAAATAGGGGCAGCGTCGTCTCGATATTATCCATCATCTCCAGGCTCTTACCAATCCTGGAAATCTGGTCAAAGTTGAAACTGCAATTTGTGTTGTTATGGACAGAAAGGCCAGCATCGATGCTGGCCAGACCGCTTAGGTCGATGTGTGCGTTTGCGTTGGATGTGATGGTCGCGTCGGACCCAACCGACGTTATCTGCCCTAGTTCCACTGTTGTTCCGTACGATTGCAAGAAATCTGAGTCGTGATCGACAGGGTACACTGAGTTTTCGACTAGTAGAGAATTGTTGACTTGCATCGCTGCTTCTAGGGAGACTCGTGTAGCATAAGAATTCGTCACGGTGAAGTCGTAGACCGAGGATAAAGAGAAGGGATAAGAGCAACCTGCTCCTCCTATGACGTGTAGATCAACCACCGATCTAAGGTCACGTAAAGATAGGCAGCTAGCTATCTCAAACGAGAACGCGGATTGAGCATCCGCGAGGGACATCTGATTAAATTCATCTACGCCATCCCCAAAATTGACAAGTTTTAATGAACCGAAATCTGTCGCATTCATCATTATCAAATCGGTAAGAACGGGAGCTCCGGTAATATTCAGATCGAGGGGTCCAAAGACTATGTTTCCGTCCTCCGAGACAAATGCAGGCGGCGTCGATGACAGCATTGGCATTGACAACTCGGTAAGAGAGGTCGCTTGATCTATAACCAAGGACGATAAAATTGTGAGTTTAGGGAAACTCAATATCTCTAGCTGGGGGCTGTCATGAACGTTGATGTCCTCGGCGCTGATGAGGTTGGTGAAATCCAATACTCCAAACGCCTTTTCGATCTGGATGAACAGCAGTTGATCGCCGCAGGAAGCGAGGGGCCCGTTCTCGATGTCATCTTGGTTGGTGATGGTGACATTTTGGGGACAAGAGCTGGTCACTAATAGAATATGAATTAGCTATCAATACGAAACCTCCGCTATTCATCGTATCTTCCGTACTCGTTAATTATACTGAAAACGACTTGTCCGCATGAATTAGGCCAACTTCTCGTATCGGAATGGACATGCTTATGTGCTGATGGTTTGTTGGATGCGCTGCTGACATGAGAGACGAAAAGGGAAAGAAATTTTTCAAAAATAGTTGCAGGTGTAGAACCAGCTTCTTCGTCGCATCTCGGTGATCAAACCGAATACACCGAAGCGAATTCAGTATGCAGGTACTGACCATGTAATTGACCTATCGAAACCCTGCAAGCGATCAACATAAGGTGGATTCAGGGGGCGGCGCAGTTGTTGGAGATGAAACACAGCTGTTACAGTAGGTTGACTTCAGTCATTCATATAAATATAAGAGAAACATATCCTGATAGTTGATAGAAAGAAGAGAGCTCAGGCAACAAGACGCCAGTAGCTGTTATAGATGGCTGAGTTCAACTCGGGCCCCGTATGAAGACTTTGGCTCAATATCAGCTGTAGGATAGAGCACGTCGTACATGGCCCGATATAATAACAAGAGAACCCTGTGAGGGTAGCTAGCTTGAGTAAGCATTTGGTTGGCATTATATGCCAAGATTTAATCCATGGCGAATATGGGGACCGCTGACTACATAGCTCCTAGTCATTGAGAGCCCAGCTACGGTACTTAGAATCGGCAAAAAGCGCATAAGATCATTATTATCTGAATCAGAGAAGATATTAGGTAGATTGATATGTAAATAATGTGGATTCGAGAGGAGATTTGCATGACCAAAGCACCAAAGCCGTCACTCAGCCGCCCGGCGCGATTCTTTACATTCAGCTCAAAGCGTCGAATGATAGGCAGGGGCTCCGTCTAGGATCAACCCCAAATGGTCCTTCTGTGTCCGGTATCAACGAATGAGTTCTGCAGCAGGCGACGCACAATCACCCGTGTTAATCGTTGTATTCACAATCCCAAATGATAGCGAGAAGCCATATTTCCAACTATCAGCACCTGGTAGAACATCGTGGGGTGTAATATCACGGCGCGAGTCCCTAATCTCAGTCGTATTCGTCCCGAACAGTACATCGCGTGCTTCGACAAAGTCTGGCGTGATCTGGTCGTCATGTGTGAAGCCCATAACAAGCTCGGGGACGCCAACAGGATACAAAGAGTCTTTCTGGTCATATCGCCATGTGTGAATTGTCTTGCCGTAGGTGTTTATCAGCACATCTTTCATGATGGTATGGTCGACGACGCTGGGAAGACCTGGTTCAATGAGGAACCCGCTCGTAACTTCATACTGGTGACTGTGCCAGAGTTGACGTTCTGCATTGTTTTGAGAGTTAGAGTTAGAGCGTGAGAGATTTCTTGAGGTGAGACAGGTCGAAGATAAGAGACAGAAACAGAGGAATAGAGCTTATCCAGGATTAGTACCTTCGAAATCAAGCGTTTCAAATGCCTCCTCGGTGACAATGTATTCTATTCCGGCGAGATGAGCCGGGGTCGTAGCGGTATTGTATACCACGCACTGCAGCATATCGTCGCGAATAATGACGCAGTAATGATTCGCGGAAACCTCGTAATCGTTATCTTGGACAGAAATCTTACGTCAATTCAATTGCTTCCCGTATTTTTCTTATAGCAAAAGCACTGTGGCTTTGGCTGCAATGGGGGAGTTCCTTACGGCCAGAGACGAAGTGGAATCCGTTGAGAAAGAGCACAGCACCCTCTGGTCCAGCTAGACCAAACGGTAGTGATGCCAGAATGTTGGCTGGAAAGAGAGTTATGGCCATCAGACCAGCCAGCACTGAGAAGGAGAGCTTGTATGAATACATCGCAGTAATTGGAAAGAAAGAGATAGTGATGTGGTGTTATTCTCAGGAAGCTCACGCTGTTGAGAGTCTGCTTTTTTCCCATCGTCTCTAGAGGCTGGCAATATGCAGCTTATATAGACGATCGTCTGATTCCCAGTCCTCTCAAGTTTAGCGACCTAAAACCATGTTGTTGGTGACGGGATCTCTGCTGCTTGTCCCACACTCTCTCGCCCCTAGTCAGTCTCTTCCCTCTGCCTCTTTTGATGCGATGGCGGCTTTACCCGCGGCATTCCATTAGCTTTCGGTTTCTAAATTGCGGTAGATCAGGGTAGTTTGTGAGCACTACCGCCACCGCCAAGTGCGGACGAAACCCGCGGCGAAGGGTTTTCCATCACACGATTCCGAGATTTCCACCAGCAAATTATTGAGCGACCAAACCCATGGTCGGCGATTACGCCTGTCTTTCGTCGTAGTCATTCTCAGCCAGTTGAGCGAAATAGGAGGTTTAGGTCGCCGACCCAATGGAGATGGATAATTAGTCCCTCGTTATTAAATAGCAAGACTATGTCGGGCCACGAAGAAGCGAGAGGCCTTCCCACAAAAACGAGCAAGTTTTGATGACTCTTGCCTCCATCACCCGATAGCTCCCGATTTTGACGGCGCCGTGCGGTCAATGCCGCACGGCATACAGCATACTGGTACTGAGGGGTCTGTCAGCAGAACAGGGCCCTATAACCCTGGCGTAGCTTGCCCATAGTACACTGTATACTGTCGTACAAGCTGGGCCATGACGTTTGAGGTCAAAAAAGCACGTCGAAAATCGAGAAGACCCTGTGATCGAATTGCTGATGAGGAAAGATGAGAATCGAACCCAAAATCTAACCCTACAAGAAGAATGGGCAATGGTGATAGTTATAGGCGTGTTGGGAATGCTAGCTTTGAGCACGCCATCGCCCTGGTCGCCTGCATGGGTGCCACAGATGGGCCAAGCGGGTGCGTGAGGCATCCCTGTCTGTCGAATAAAATATGAAGGTTAAGCCAAGTCCAGAGATGAGCAAGTTATAATAATGGTCCTCATAATTCAAAGTTATGCTTAGTTATCGTCAAATTATATGGATAACTATTACGGCAAACTTGATGGAAACTGGTCAGGGCTCAGAAGCCCAGCGGACGACCAGGCAGCCGTGAAGTTCAGGGTAGAACGATGGCGAATGCCTACAAGTCATAGGCGCTTATGGCATGGACAAGGCGATAGGTCTTGAATCACAATAACTCCTTGTCTTATCTGGTAGCTACTACTGCCTTCCATTTTTTAGTATCAAATGCATAATCGTATACTCACATAAGAATCCCAGAGTTAAAGTAGAACCGAGCTTTGAGTCAGCAACAGCACCTGTGTTAGACTTAGATGGCGATACTTGATATTGGAAGCAGGGTATATTGAGACACACGATATTATCTCTCTACATCGCCTAAGCTAAATAACAAGTGCCCGGACTGGATGTATAGCCGGATGTATAGCCGGATATATAGCCGGATGTATAGCGCGAATAGCCTACTTTGAGCTATATGTAGCTGATGTGTTAAGATATGTACTATTTAGCAGTATGCCATTTCTCTTGTTCTAGCCTCAAGTGCATCTGATCTGTTATTTTCGTTCAATATGCTCAACAGTAGCCTCGACCTTCTCTGTCATCAACTCCTTTACGCCCTTGAGCAAAGCAACAGCAACAATAGCAAGTACCACGAACGGAATGACGCTCGACCACGCGAGTCGGTAGGCATATGCGTACTGCCACTGACTCTCACTAATAGCAGCATCCCAAATCGTCGCATTGGCACCCGTCACAGCATCAGAGCCAATATTTCCCGTATCAAAAGCCTCCAAGAGTGAAACAACACTACTTTCAGGAAGCCCAGCATCTACAGCGGCTTTGGATACAGCAGGCGCATAATGTCCGCTGAGACGACCGTTGATGATGGCATTCAAGACCGCAGAACCGAATGCGCCCCCAATAGCACGAGCTGAGAAGGCCAGACCAGTCGCCGTAGATAGGAACGCGTGAGGGGCAGTGAATTGCACACAGGCGACCAGAAGAGTGAGGGGTCCTGACTGGCCAATCCCAGCAAGCACAGCAAGTCCGATTTGAGGCGCGTCCCAGCTTGGCTTGATATTAGCGTACGATATTGTGCTTCATCTCATCATTAGCCTCGTCATACGCTCACGGAGATCGCCTCAACTTACACAACAAGGAAAATCGTGAAAGTAACGAGCAGCGGGCTCTGCAGGTCCTTGTATCTCGTAGCATACCACGTGACGGGGACAGAAGTAAAGAGAACGGGGAGCTGATAACTGAGTTGGCGAACGGCGATTTGCCACGCATCCGATTCAAATCCAAGCTGCAGTATGATTTGCGGCACAACTGAGTTGACGGCGCTATAGAAGATCCAACCTTCGACGGCGAAAGCGAAGACCGAGTACACGAAGTTGGCATTTTGCTGAAAGAAAACGTGTGCTACCAGACCATCGGATCTCCCCTTCCACTCTAAGAAGACGATAGGGGTCAGCATATGTACGGGACAGCGCTGACTCCTCGCACAAACTTAGACAAGAGAAACTAGGAACTTACCATAGCCTGCAAATGCCACTAACAGAACAAGACCCAAGCTCAGCGGTACAGCGACATGCGGATTAGACCATGTATAAGCACCACCGGCCCAGTCAAGTGCCAGTAACAAAAGGGTGGCGCTGCTGATGAACAAACAGGAGCCGATAGGGTCACAGGCCCAGATATAGTCTCGGACTGACATTTTGGGAGTTTGCCGTTGTTGTTTCGGTGGGAAATAAAACAGCAGCAACCCCAATGACGTAGCGCCGTGGAACGCAGCCTGGATCCAGAAGATATATCGCCATCCCGACGCGCTGATATTAGTCACGGCGCCAGCACCCAGAGCGCCAATCAGACCACCAACAGCGCCTCCCACAAACGCAAAGCCGTTTGCGAGCGCGCGGAACTTCAAGGGCAGGATCTCGGAGGGAATAGCCTGCACGATGGAGATAGTCGACAGCGTAGTCCCTATCAACACGCCTCCGCCGATCAACACAGACATCGACTTGGCCGTAGCCGACACAACGGCTCCGACGAACGCGATCAGCGGCGGGATAGCAGCGAGATATTTCCGGTCGAGAACGTCTGAGAGTCGACCGACGATGGGGGAGAGGACGCTTTGGATCAGGAGCGGTCCTTGGATGATCCATCCCGCTATCGGCGCGTCGCCGAGATCGCGGATGATGAAGGCGATTACGGACCCTGCTGCTACGACGACGAAGACTTGGGCCATTACGCTGGATAAGTGTTAGCAGTGATACAGTCGCTTTGAGAGGGAATTGCGGGCCAGCTTACGCGAAGCAGGTTATGAAAACTACTAGCTGACCATGTGTTAGTAAGTCATTCAAAGCCTTTACGTCCTGCAAGGGGAATTGTGTACCCAAGATCGCCAGCTCAGGTGAATATGGTAAGCATCTTCGACAGCTTCCTGTTGAATCGGTACCACGTCTACATCTTCATTTTCGGATTTCTCGGCCTTTTCGGACGTTGCCTGAGGCGCATACTTCTCTATATCGTCGGCCATTGTTGCCCTATGAGTGTTGAAGTATCAAGTGTACGAGATTGAGTTCGAAACTCTATCTTGGCTTCTGTCTATGAAAGTCGTTTCGCTCGCTACCATGCGCCAGGAGCCCAGAGATATAATTACCGTCCACTATGTGTCTGACGGCCTCGACCCCTGACCTTCCCCATCAACAGAATATGGGGAAGAGACGGGGTTCGGGGTACTATGCGGGGAGCTCAGGCACGGCAGTTCGTGAGACTCACTCGACTCACCCAGCTCGTGTGGGGAGAGGATGGTTGAAGGAAGATCGACGCCCAACCTTTTGTCTTGGCTTTCTGGGGTAAGCTCTGCCCCTCAGGAATTCCAACTGTTCTATCGACTATGCTCGCCGACTATAAGAGATTGCTAGGCAGAGCCATCGCAGCAATTACTTGGTGTCCGCGATGTTAAGGTTATTCAAACTTGCGCTCTGTTATTGAGCTTGGTAAGCGCCTAGTTAAAAAACCACCGAGGCCCGGATCTCGTGCAGATGGTCACGATACTTTACTGGCAATCCTGCAATCATTTATCTAGTTATTAGTGCCCTTTAGCTAATCCAAGTCCTATTATCACCTAGCGTGAACGTAACTAACTAATTATGAGATACTTCCGTTGCCCCAATTGGCATTGCTCTCATTCGAAGATCATAATCACGCTATAATTCGACAGTATAAACATTAGAGGGCCTATGAAAAGTAAAGAATATTCATTCTAAGGACAGCATTCCGAAGATGTCAAGACACATAGTCAAGCAGTGGGATCATCTGCTCGATATCTACTGCCAGGAGTAAGACGCGAAAGCGACTCCCCCCAAGACACCCAGTGTCAGAAGTACACCAGGTTGTCTCTGACTAAAGCCCAATGCTGAGCTGGTATCATCATCAGATCCGTTACCGGATGAGCTGTCATCATCGTCGGTGATAGGAGCCATGCTTGCATTAACAGCAGGGCTCAGTAACCGATTGACGAAGTCAGGACTCCTCCAAGAAGAGCCATCGTGCGACAACAATCCCCTATGCACATCACAGCCAGTATTAGTCACTGGATCAATATATCAAGTGTATAGCACTCACCACTCCTCGTCTTGATCCTGTGTGCCCTCGCGGATGTAGTAAGAGCCGGCCAGTGCCCATATCATCCATCCCGCATGCTGCGAAGGGAAATAATCCAACAGACAAGAGGCATACGAATTCGTCGCAGTCGATTCGTTCTGGGGAAATCCAAACTCAGTCACAACGAGTGGGAACTGGTTCGTCGCGCTGTTGGTTAGAGTTTCGAACCCCGCGTTAAACAGTCTATCCGTTATCTCGGAGCAGTCGCTCGAGGGCGTGCCTAGAATGTTGTCATAAACGTGCAATTCGAGGACGAGCTTGTTATCACCGTAGCCCGCGAAATCATCACGATTGAACATCGCGGTTCCGGGCTGCAGCGCTGCGCCTTGGACGACGGCGGTCAGATTCTTGTCTGAGTCTAGGCCAGAAAGAAAGATGAGCACATCGGGATTGGCGGCGTGGATGGCGTCAGCGCCTTGCTGGACGTATTTGTACCAGTCCTCCCAGTTATATGAGCTGGCGACCTGCGTGTCGTTCAGGGATATCCGTAGCTCGTTCCGCAACGACATCGACATCAGATTTGGCCATGATTTGCCCTAGTATGTGTCAACAGTCATTCAAATATGCTGGGACGGGTGAATGCGGACATGTTCGGCCATGAATGATAATCCGCGTTCCCAGTTGTCCACGTTGAAATACACATCATTCCACCAAGAGTTGCCATCGATTGGGCTGCAGCACCAACCCGCTTTTGAAATATGGTTGTCAAGGTGCATGTAAATCTCCTGCTTGGCGCATTCTGCAGCGATAGCATCGAAGACCTATACTCACACATTTCAGCTCACGCACAGTAAACGGGAAGATCTGCTTGGCATCTGCGAACCTGTAGCCTCGTTGTTTCGGCTCCAAATGAAGGGTTATTCGAAACAACTTTCTCATAGACGGCCATACCATCTTCTTGGCCTAGTGCATCGACGAAGGCCTGTTGTATCGTGACATCTTTCTCATCATTATCATAGTACTGGTCAATCATTTCAGTCGCGTACGTCAAACGAATGACATTCATGCCTAAACTCTTAATCTTCGAAACGAGCACCTCGATGGACTGATATTGCAGTCCCTCCGGGATCATCGTCTCCAGTGAGCCAGGCCAGTTGACGCCGACATATGTGACCTTCGCACCGTTTGCATCGGTGATCCATCGTCCCGAGGTGACTAGCGGCCCGTTCGGCCACGATGCCCGGGGTTCTATTTCCGTTGAAAGCGAGAGACTGAAGAGTGCGCTCAAGACTGCTAGCCAACTAGTCAGCCAACGAAAGTGGCCGATCCGCTCCATCGTGAAGCGATTACGGTACTTCATGATGGGAATGAAAACCCGACCGAATGGGTTGAGCCCTTGACATTAATATCGACGGCGGCCATGTTTCAGCTCTGCAGATCCGTGGCTGTGCATCGTTGCTTTTAGTGGCGAACAGGGGGACACCCCACAGCCGGGCCTGAATACGAGCAACAGGAACCAACAACCTCACCAGCTTTTTCTCCCCCTCACATTTGTAAGCCTCAAGTATTTGCATGTGGGAGCGCAGGCAGGAAAGTTGCATTCAGTGGCTTTGAAACAATAGGCCGCGTGGCTTTCCCGCTGTGACCCCACGCTTTACTTAACACCTTAAGCTTAAGGCTAGGATTAACGGACTTGCCAAGAAACGAAACCGCAGAGATGGAGCTTGTCCGTATGCCCTCATATTACTCGGATGTTATGAGGTAGGATGCAAATACCAGCATGTTTTTGGTCTAAACATGTGTCATGATAATGCGATTTGAATGCATTGGTGACATGAATATCGATGTTGCATGAAGTTAACATACTACGGGGCGTATATTCTATGAGAATTAGCGGAATTCAAGCAGATTTCATACGCGATGGCGTTAAAGAAACTCAACAGTCAAAGAGCTTACAAGGCCCCGGATCACCCTACCGCCTTCCACCCATGCGCCGTGAATGTAGTCTTGCTCTCACTAGGTAGTTTGCGCAATGATAGGAGAGTATCTTTGCCCAACGTCCACTTTCGCTGAAAGATAGAATCGGATAGGTATCGGTCTCACAATGAGGCGATCCAGAAACCTCCCAACCGAACATCTCCGTATGACTCGCAAGACCGTATCGATGAAGCCTCAACCTTTGACAGCCGGCGCACTCCATCTCATTATACTCTCAATTGTTTTCCTTCGCGATTCTCTAGACGGAACCTGTTTTCGAAACTGTATCGCGAAAGGCCCCCTTCTGTCTGTCCTGTCGCAGCTCGTCCAGGTCTCACATCACCACGTCTCAATAAGTTCCAGCGCGCGTCCCGAAATGCATCAAGAAGCGAACATAGTCATCACCCTTGAAGGGGAACTGAACTGCCCCATCATCGATTAAAATTCCCGTATCATCACAACCCCCGAGCGATGCGGAGCTATGCCGTGCGACCCGAACGGACGGATATACCGGCCCTCCCTAGCTCTCATACCTCATACATATGCCGTAATACCCGAGTTCTATCTTTCCTTACTTACCTCCTTACCTATATACTTACCTGCTTCCTCACTTACTTACACTAGGTACATAATCTCCGCAGTACACGGGAAAAAGAAGCGAGTCACGCCGTGCAAAACATAGTAAGTAACAATAGCAATCGTACTACAAATAAAACAGGCTATGCTTCAGACGTTCTGATTAGGTAATTTCACATCTACTCACACTAATCCCGGACCTAATAGATAGGTACTTATTCAGCACTTCATCGTCCCCTTATTACATACCTGGTACTAAATATTGAAGAGGATGCATTTCACGCAAACTGCTCAGTCAAGTCAATGTACTCTGATTGATATGATATATAGACCATACGGAGTTATCCCACTGTTCTTATGTTTAATCAGTGATGAACCTGAACCGATGACCTCTGTCTTTCTAAATGCCGCCCACAAAAACGCCCGAGAAAAAGACCAGAATGTTCCAATACTGGAAATGCTAAATTGGCCCGGCCCCCCAAGTAATTACAAAGAGGGGTGCCAAAAAAATGATGCTGTGCTAAAAGCCGACCCTTCTTTCTCCGTGTATGTGCAAAGTTGAGAGTGAGTAGGTGTATGCCAGTCTACTAGCAATCCAATCCAATTCAGTTGTAAGAAGCTTTCAAATCAAAGCCGCAATCAAAATCCATACTGTATACGGATACTTGTTCACCAAGCAGATGGGCATCGAATTAAAAGTGATGTTGCGAGAATTATATGACTCCTTGCAGATCCCATTCGCCTTTCTGCGCCCTCACGAGGACCTCGCGACCCTTCTCAGTAAGATCAGGTTTGCCGCCTTTGTCTGTCGCTTGCGTGAAGAAGACTGGCACAAAAGGTTCGTTGGTTCGTTCTCGCTCGCGCGCCTTTTCCCGCTGTTGCTCCTCCAATTCAACTTTGACATTCGTGGCCTTGGAATATTGTTTGGATAGGATAGCCTGAGTAACCCCATCCCAGAGCTTCAGCGACTCGTTTTCAGCCTGCTGCTCGTTGGGTGGCAGGGTCTTGGGAGCAACCGCCAAGGGGTTGAGATCAATAATGGTGATTTGTCTATCGGCGGGGTGAGATTCCTAACAGTATCATTAGTCCTAAGCCTTGTGTGCAGTAAAAGGGTCTGGGTGTTTAGGACTTACTACAGGCTTTGGTCCCAAAGTAAAGACGATCTTATCCTTCCAGCCACCACCTAACCGAGCGACGACATCCGCATCAGGCACGTCCTTGATACGCACTTTATCGTCGTTGTCTGGGTCATACTTGAATATGACGCCTTCAACCTTGTTCTGTGCACGTCCAAGCCATCCATCTTCGACGTAGTTCAGGATGGCTTTGAGCTTCGTCCTGGCACATGTAATATAAGCAACATCGCCAACCGTGACACTGAGAGCACCGCGCAGGAGACCGCCAAGATGTGCGGCTGGGTGGGTAAGCTGATACGTCTCGTTATCTCGTCGCTCGAGGGTAATGAAGATACCGAGATTGTGCTCTCCCGGTGAGACTTTGATAGCCGTGCCTGTAAACTTGGCACTGATCTGATCATAGCCTCTTGCGTGTAAACCTTTTTGTGGGCAGCTCACATAGAATGCGCTGACAGGTGGATGATGCGATGTTTGTTCTGTAAGATAGGATATCCTAACGGTAGGTCCAGCCGGATTCGCAGCTGTTTGGACAACCGATACGCTGGAGGCGGATTTGGGGTTGATCTTGCCTGATTTGATCGAGGAGGCACCGCTGCTCAGACCGCTCTTCGTGCCGTTTACGGTTAAGTTCTTAGTATTAATAGGCGGCGCGTTGTCTTCTGCCTCCCAATTGCAACGAAAGAACTCGCCGAGGCAAGAGTTGTAAGGCTTGCAGGGCTTTCCTTTAACATATTTTAAATCCTTTGTGAACCAAAAACGCAGAACCTCGAGCATGCGGTCGAGAGGCTCGTCGGATGTGCCTATCGCAGCGAAAGCGCTGGGGTTGTCGAGATAGTTCCAATATTCTAAATTCGGCGTGGGTTCGAGTAGCTGGGAGGGCAAGGAAAACCGAACGGAGGCAAGGTCTGATACGCCCATAAACCTGAGGGATAGATGACTGGTCAGCCATGTCTCTAACATCTACATGATCAAGCTCAAGAGAATAGGGCTTCGAAATAAAGGGGTAGGGAATGCAGTTTCGTGGGTCCGATCGCGGAGGGGATGCTGCGAGCGCCGTACGCAGCGGTCTGATCTCCTCTTCCCAACCCCATATTCCAACGTCCGTGCAGGCGGGTGACACCGACACTTACTTTCGTAGGATGGAAAGAAATGTTTTCAGCTTGGACCCATCGCTCTGTGGCACGTCCTCGTCCGCGGTGATGGTAGGGGGAGGTGCCGAAGCCATAGCGGCGGACTGTTGTTGAAAGTGGCGAATTGGATCGTGGTCACGTCGGGAGTAAGGGTCGGCACAGAAAGAAGGGGAGATGATAGAGCTTTAAAACGCTGACGCAGTGGAGTGGAAGTTAAAAAAAAACCTAAGGCCAAGAGAATATAAAGGTCCTGAAAGAAGCTACTACTAGCATGGGTAAACCAGGACAGCGGCAGTTGACAGGAGGGTTGACGGGAATAAGTGTACGGGTGGTGCGAAAGAAGTGTCTAGATAATTAGAGGGTTTGATGGAGAGGTGGAAGACACAGACCGAGACAGAGACCGAGACAGAAATGACGGTTACAAGACCACGAGTAACGAGCTAGAAGTGGGATAGGATCATCCATTCAGGAGTATCAGAAGGGCTCTCTTGGTCTTGGTCTTGGTCTGGGTCTGGTCTGGATGCTAGATTAGGTACTTACATACCTCGAAACCTACACACTCACCTACAGATGCATCCTTGACCAGTCTAGGTAGCCGATAAGCCGGATTGTGAAATCTGGGGCCGATGTGTGGTTCCATGGGGCAGAGACAAGAAGACAAGACAACGGACGGACTGGTCTAATGCCTCCCGCCTCCTGCGACTATCGCATACTGTTTGTGTGGAGTGTGAGAGGTGGCCGTGTGCTTGTTCTGGGAACTTGTGATGCCATCGCGTGCACTACGCTGCGGTACCCCTACCTCAGGTACTCACATACCTAATGTAGGCGGGTAGGTACTTATGGTGCATACCTACGGAAAGTACCTACACACTAAGTAGACGGAGCTAGATAAAGAGGTTTCAGCGTGCTGGTTACTGACTCTACCTATAAGTACTGACTCTGTACTGACCCTGCGCTCAGTGGCGTGTTAGCGGCAGCTTGGCGCTGTAGGTCAGTGTAGTACAGCGCATGAAGGTACCAAGATGGAGTCTCAGCGGTTGAGCAATGTACAAGTACCCGAGTCGTGTTGTACAGTTACCAACTCAGGCCTCATCAGTGAGGGGAGTTGAGAAGTGTTCTGTTATCCGTCCGAAGTCTCTCTGTGTCACTCATCATGCAGAAAGACTGTGCATCTGGAATCCTTTCAGCATGCAGGCGAAGGTGATCACATCTGGACATGGAAGAGATGGAATAGTTCTGTCTGTCTTACCATTGGAAATCTAAGTCATCTACCTACTGGAGAGTAACGACGGGAAATACAGGAACCAATCATCCTGCCACGAGTGCCGATGCCGATGGCATGCCATCACACCCTCTTGCTACTGGTCGCCTTGGGAGACCCCTTCGACATCTCCATTTCCATCTCCATCTTTTCCTTCTCCCCCACCTCTCTGATACTGATAAATCATGTAATATGGACTGGACCCTGCGATACCAAACCACTATAGTAGGTAACAGGTACCCTACAGTAGAGGTAAGCGTGCATATATGTACACCTGCAGTCGGCCTGCCTCCATATTGCAGACTGATCTTATCCCTTATCCTTATCAGTGTTGTGATGATGAGGGGTTCGTTGGAGGGGGGAAGCTAGGGTGACGTCAGGTGTCCTCTATTCACTATCGTTTATCTTTTATGTCCTAAGCTTAGTTGATTCTTCATCTGTTGGTCCGAGTCTGTTGGTCCCATGTTACAACTATGGCTGAAGTGGCGCAGCCAACAGACAGCGGGAAGAGAAAGAGGGTGTGAAGACGCAGAAGCCCTCTCAGAGAAAAGGCATGCATAGTGTTGACAAAGCCCATACTGAAATTATGTATATCTAAATAGAATGGATATGAGAAAGTGCTTGCATATTTATCTAAGTAGGCAGTGAAAGTTCCATGTTCTAAACCAACCCACCTTGCTTGAATTAAACTTCATATTATAATGAATTAGACAGTTCCCCTGGTAATGCTCCAATGTTAAGATAGGCACCATTCCTCGAAAGACCAATATTTCAACGCGACGTACCTAGACCTCTTCTACATTCCGCGCACTCCAAGTGTCCTCGCCAGTACTCAGCGCGCCAGTGTCAACGTCTCAAATACAGAACGAAACTTAGCATCGCTACTCATCCTCAACTCTCCAATTCGAAGATCCGCATCATATTTTCTATGAGAAAGGTAAAGCCACAACTATAAAACAACTATAAAGAATCACATCCGCCCGAAGCCCCCGTGTTACCTCTTGTTGCCGTAACTAGCCAATCCCAGGCAAACCCATTTACATTGTGAAGAAGCTAGTGCCGCTTTGAGGTTATACCAAAACGGTCCACGTAACCCCTATGTCTACCAGCGGCGTCGCAATGAACAAGGATAAGCCAGGAGGGCCATGGGTGCGTTCACTACATCAGATCATACTTACATTCAACCTGGGCTGTGTTTAGACTACTGGTACCTAACAATAATCAACGCTGCGACAGCAGAAATGCGATAAGCAACTAGTTCATTGCAAGAGAGCATAGCTGGGCGCTTTCTGCACTATTATTTCCGAGCATGCAGTTCAAGACACGGCTGCATATGACTCAGAAAACAATGAATCATCTACCGTCAGACCTCACCATTCAAAGATGACAAGAGGTGGCATCTGATCAATCGAGGCTAGCAGAAAGGGCACTTTCTGAGCCCTCATCTCGGCTGAGTCATAAGCCGAGTACCTCCTTGCACACCCAGCTGGCGACAACGGGAATGGGAGCCGAGCGTATTGTTTCGTATCGGTAAACGATCAATTTTGGGACGAGTTCTCTGCTTCAATTGGAAAGGCATAGTTCCTGAGAGCGGTATACCGTCGTGTAGGTTACGTAGTTGTGCAAATTACAACTTATCAAAGTACCTGTCCCCTCGTGACTCATATCTCCCCCTGGAACTTTGGAGAAGAACTTCTGGCTGTCGCAAGTCGCAGGTCGCAGGTGGATGACGACGTCAGGCAGGCAACTAAATTACGGCCAGTCAGGGGCTGGGATCCATTTCCATTCTGTCGGGGTTTATATTTAGTTGCGATGTGTTTCCGTTGGCCGTCTCCGCTCCACTGGATTGTCACTGGATTGTCGCTGCATTGTCATCGGATTGGGCTGTGCCATCTCCATCTCCCTCCACCTCCACTGAAATGCCCAAGTCCTGCTTACTCGCATTGGTATCCCTTTCAATACATATCTGGCCTGTGATCCTGGAGATTCTGTGACGGAATACCGCTATACCCAGTATTGGCCCTTACCTCGTAAGCCTGTCGCCGAGTTCGAGATCGGATTGAGGCATCCCATTGAGACATCCCTGGTCTTCGTCTTTGTCGCAACCGCCAGCCATTGGATGGATACAAAGGCGCCCTAAGCCCTCTGTCCAAGGCTTGTCAGTTTGTCAGCCTTAGCTCCCTTTTCCGATCTAGACTAAGCGAGCGCAGATCTTATCTACGGACCCGGGCCAACATTACGAGGAGGGCATCTACCTACTCTCTATCCATCTCTTTGCCGGCGCACGCGCGGCCGAACATATTCCTTTCGTCGCCGAACAACATCCGCAGAACAAGACGGCTAGAAGACGGCGCACACTGTATATAGCAGTGTAGTGCAGTGAAACAGGCAGTCTCATATTCCCCGGACTAGACGGAATGTCGGCGACCACTTCTGCTGCTGCCGTCGCGGCACCACCACCCCACATCAAACCCACAAAGATCTTGGCCTGTGTTCACTGTCAGTATCGCAAGATCAAATGCGATCGCCAACAGCCATGCTCCAACTGCATCAAGGTATCTATCTATCTTCTTCTCTAGCTTTGTCTTGCGGTTTTCCTTATCGTGTCGCAGCCTGGAGCTCGTAGCCACCCTGCGATGACACTCTGTCTCATCTCACCCCTCATTGCACCCACGAAGTGGTCTGTTAGCTGAGACAAGCCTCAGGCAAAAATTGCTTGTAAACCAAGCACTCCAGCCCCGCCACATAAGCGGCGTCGGCCAAACCAGGATCTCCTCGAACGGCTAGCACGCTGTGAGCAGCTTCTTAAGCAGTACGCCGACGGCAATGTCCCGCCCCAGGTTGAACCATCCATTGCGACTGCTGCTGTAGTCAGTGGTAATAATAGCATCGCTAGCAGCCAGCAAGTCTCGCCCGTCGCGGTGAAAGCAGAAAATGATCTCGCTCCCAAAGCCATACCAAAAGGCAAAGTCGTTAAGGAGGATGGCAACGATCGTTTTATGGACAATTATATCCGAATCAGCTTCCACGATGAGGTATAGTCGCCTATCATTCCCTCACCAAGGAACCAAGGCCTCTAATCTTGCTCTTAGCTTGCGGCGATGAGAAATATTATCGACGACGGAGATGACGAATCCGAGTCGAGCACAGCTGGCCTCTCGCCCGATAACGATGCCGATCTTTTTCTAGGTATTGACGATACGACGATTGACTTGCAAGAACTTCAACCAGAGTGCGTACTCTACTCCATTGGTTCTCTTTCATGACTGTGACATATATCGCTAACACATGTGCATTGTAGTCTTGTCAATGTCTTCAGGTTATGGCAAATTTTTCTTGACCGGGTCAATCCCCTAACCAAAATCATTCATGTTCCTACTATGCAATCCATCGTGATGAACGCCGCCAACGACATCAAACAAGTTCCATTGTCCCAGCAAGCTCTCCTCTTTTCTATTTACACCATGGCCATCGTCGCCCTCAACTCGCAAGAAGTGATTCAAATTCTTGGCATGACTCGCGAGGAGGCTTTAACTCGGTTCACGCGTGGCACGAAACTCGCCTTAACTCGGGCAAACTTTATGAAAAACTACAATATGGCGATACTGCAAGCCCTTGCACTTTATATGGTACTTCCCCCCTGTTGTTTTTTGGAATGCTAGTGTTAACATGGACTTTGGTAGCTCTCGTTAAACAGTCGTAGTAACGAAAATCCCTCCAATTGGATTATGGGCGGCACGGTCATGCGCATCGCTCAGAAGATGGGCTATCATCGTGATGGTGAACAATTCAATCTCTCCCCTTTCGAGACGGAAATGCGGCGGAGGATCTGGTGGCATATTCATGTGCAAGATATTAGGAACGCCATGTTATCTGGTTTGAGCCACTCGTGGGTTACGACAAACTGGGATACCAAGATGCCACTAAACATTAACGACTCAGATCTGATCCCGAACTCAATGGAGCCTCTTGTCGCCCGGGATGGCCCCACGGACATGGCATTTGTCCTCATCATATATCATTATCAGAAATTCAACAGCAGGACACACGCCGCCTTTGAAGCTGCATTCTTATCATTCCGTGCCGGGGTCGGAAGCAATCATCAACCAGGTGCCCGCGGCCCGATTGAGGCGTACCGCGCCCTGATAGACGAAATCGACGCCGAGTTAGCCGAATTCGAGCGAAAATATGTCGATCCGAAATTAGGCGGCGCGCAAGAAGCTGCGTCGATAATACGCCCGATGTTCATCGATAAAATGAAGGACATCATGACACCAATGCACGACCAGCCGGAATGGGGATTAGAAATCTTCGATCAGATCGACAGTCTGTTCAAAGCCTTTGTCCAAACACACCAGAGAAACGTCCTTATCTACAAACGCATGGCCAACTCAGGGTTCCTGTGGTTTATCCGCGGCGGATTCCAACTCGACGCCCTCCTCCTCTTCACCATCAAGCTCTACAAGCGACCGACGGGCAAGCTCACAGACGATGCCTGGACATGTCTAGAGTCTCTCCACGAGATTCACCCGGACCTATTCGACCTCTCGCAGAAGAAAATAGACCGTCAAGCCCAGCTCACCCTCAAAGCATGGGCCATCCGCGAGCGCGCTCTCGCCCAACACGGCCAAACTGTTGAAACCCCCGGCTTCATCCAGCGTCTCCGGCAACTCGTATCTCTTTCCCGCGCGCCATCGACAGCATCGACGTCATCCGAATCGCCCGCGTCCATGACGCAGCAATTCCTGCTCCAACAAGCCACACCGTTCCCGCAAATGCCACTCGACCTGGGCGACGTGAACCAATATCTCGGAAACAACATGGACACGCCGAATATAAGTCTCGACATGTGGGGCAACATAACCATGGACAGCGAGGCGGATACCCAGCAGCAGGCGCTGCCGTACGGCGGCTTCGACTTTTCGAAGCTAGACTTCTCGAGCATGGACTTCATGCGCTAGCTACAGCATACGACATTTAGAAACGGCCGGCCATATACAAGGTTCCGGAGAGGCGATGCGATGCGATGCGATGCCTAATTCTGTATACTAACTGGGGCGGCGAAAATCTGTTGAACACGGCATTGGAGTTCGCGGCGTTGACGGATATATATATATGTGTGTGTGTGTATGGAGGGGATAAGATTACTGGAACGGCTTATTCTCAGCTCCACGGACATTATGCATTGTTGGATGATGAGATGAAAGCGCGTTTATTATATGACGCGTGGTGCGTAATCTGTATGTACAACAAAAAATATACCAAACTCTGTTCATCATCATATCATCTTGCCAAGTCCTGAGTATAACCCGCCGAGCTTAACTGTAGAGCCGTACTCTTCACTGGAGCGCGGTGTCGCGGTCGTATGAAATAGCGGGGGTTTTCCGCCCTGGGTCGTGATACATTTCTCTGTGGTCCAAGAGTGGTCGAAGTAGGTATCTACATACTGGTAGCTTTATCTTGATGTGCCATGGCCGAAGAGTCATTCGGACTCTACATAGGCTACAATAAGGGCCATACATAGATATCGAAGGAGAGTTGTGAAGAGGATTAGTCAGTAGTACCACTAGAATCTCAGGGGTATCCTATGCTATAAATCAATATGAATCAGGAGAGTCGCAAGGGCGTACATGAAACGTATACGCGCTCCCTTTTTACGAGCTTATCGTGATTTCAACGCGCTTTATTCCTTGACTTCGTAGTTTCCCGTTAGCTAAAGCTATTCGTATACTTATTAGTGCTTGGAATTCATCAATTTCTTTAGGTGTGGCCTCATGTGGGTGATTCAAGTCATGTAAGTTACGCTGGTCGACTTCCCCATGTACGGAGATCCTGGTCATGTATACACGTACAAAAGGTCGTCATGCCTTGCTTATGAACTATGTAAATTAGCAATGTAACACTTATGTACCTGCTCCTTCATCCGCTGTGTCTGATGCTTTTCGTCAACCCCGACACGCCTCGACTGGCTTCCTGGCACCATGCCTAAGGACGCGATTAACTCTGTCGTTTCTTCTAGAAAGATAATCTTCTGGAGGTCTATTATGGGGTGCATGAGCTGGCTCCCTCATCACGAAGCTTTACGATCACTTTCTGTGACTCTTCCCGAGGAATCCTTCTCATCATAAGTTGTGAAGAAATGACTATATGGGTTATACGCATAATTTCAGTAGATGATACCCCATGCACTTTTTTGAGGGGGTCCTTTACACGTTATAGGCGATGTTGGACTTTGGTCACGTAGAATCACCAGGGAGGATACGGCCCGAGGTATCTGCAAGGTGAAGAAACCCAGAGTGAGTAGAAGGCTAGTCACAGTCAAGTAGGTAGACAGGCAGTATGCAGAAGAGCTCAATAACCATTGATTCTCAAACTTCTCAGCTCTCCAAGGCGGTCCTAATACAGTCAGAAGGTCTAATACAGCCACTATGTGACTATATCCTCTGTCAGTACCATTCTCGAATCCAGCGAGTGACACACTCAAAAGTATCTAGGTACCTAGTCTACATGCTCCATCAGAAAGCTCGCTCCGACCAGCAGCGCACACAACTCTAGTAAACATTGACAGGTAAGACTCTAATAGTCGGGGTGCCCGCACCCGTCTGTGTCGTAGCTAAGGCAATCTTTCTCAGAGCCCCTAAGCCAGATTCCCCATCCCCACTTGCGCTTTGCGAACGCCTTCACATCCGGGTCAATTATTTTATAGTGGTCAGTCTTCGGCACATGGCAATCCATGACTCCATAGCCTCCCACCTTCCCGTCGACAGTGAGGTGGGCTATGGCCTCCGCAATGGTATCGGCGACATCGCCCCACGTGATCATGCCCACGCCATCGGCGACATCCAGGGGTCGAAGGGCGAATTGGCATGAGCCCTTTGTGTAAATCTCATTGTAGGGGTTCTTTGAAAGGATCGCTGGGTTGTGCCCGAGAAACATGTAGCCGGTGTCTCTGTCGGGTTTGTAGTTGTAGTAATCGTAAATCTTTTGGCAATCTTCCAGGGCAGCTAGCTTCGACTTGTCCGCCTTCTTGAAGCCTGATGATGGACTGCAGAATTTATCATCGTCAATTGGCGCGACGGTGCCTTGGTTCCAGCGGTCTGCGGGTACGGTTCGGGGGTTGAACGCACGGCCTTGGACAGCGCAGACGAGCGCTAGGCTCGCAAGAGATAAGGCGGCGCGCATGTTGTTGATAATAAGTAAGTGATGATATAGATGTGTGTATGTGTATGTGTGTGTGTAGGTTGGGTGAGAGTAGGTGTTGATGTTCAAACAATGTGTTGGTATTCAAACAATGAACAACTGCTTGGGCAGGTTAGATACTTCGGATACTTATATAGACATAAGATTCTGGTGAGCTCGAATTTCTGCCCGCCAGGGTGTTTGCGCATTCCACACGGCTCTGTAAGCCATCCCTTGAGAAGTCAATTATGTTTGACAACGGGTAAACCACAGCCTATCCTTGTGGCGGCACCAAACTAAACCTGCGCCGCTTGTCACACAAGTAGTACATGAGTTTGGAGAGAAATTTTATTTTTTTCATTTATTGGTGAGAGATGAATAGGGCTTGCTAACAGCCCGTCGAAAGCGGCGCACGTGAAATCGGAAGGATCACACAATGTTTGACGAACTGTTCCCCAATAATTCAGCATCGATTGATTGTGCAGAAGCTAAGTATTACAACAGGAACCTACGAGCATCATTGGATGAGCGGCTAGTTTGGAGAGATGGAGGCGATCGTACAGCTTATATCTGCGATGCCGTGTTTCGTTCTCTTGCGAAGGTGTTTTTGTATGATGAATTCCTGGGCCTCGGGCAAACTTCATATGCCTCCCACGGTGCCGGGTGTCAAAACACGCACAAACAAGGAAGTCCCCTGTATAAGTATCTAATGAATCTTATGAAGCCATTCCTAAGATGCCTCCTGCAACGGCAAGTGTTCATCTAGTCTTGGACTCACAGAACCTACACAGGGCTACTTCTTCATCTGCGTAATCTGCGACACTTTGCGAAGGGTGTGAAGAAATTTGAAATGATGCCCCATTTTAAGCATAGATTTATTCATGTATGTTTTGAGTATAGCAAGCCAACTGTTGAAACACGTTGCTAAGCGAGTTCCTGGATAATGATGATCCCTTGCACTCTCCTAGCCCAATAGCAACCCCTTTTAATCGTTAATATTGCCGTCTTATCTACTCTCTATGCTTTCCCATAGCATCACGTGACGAAATAGACACCCTTCCTTCCTGGTAATTGACATCCGCCTATTGAATAGTGAAATACGCGATAGAGACGGTGATGTGTCTTCAAAATCATGAAATCACACACACAAGAAAAGAAAAAAGAACTCCCTCTTCCGGGAGGGGAAGAAGTCAACTACAACATGACAACCTATATATTTGAAAACGGACGTCGGCCTGATGCGGAATGGATAAGTCGATTCGCCTCTGAGGAGCTACGCTGATTCTGCTATTCACACATTGTCATTCAATTCGGCATTGAGAACGCACGGTGCACCCATTCAACTTTACCCATTGTGACGATGTATCCATGTACTCATGTACCTATTCATTCCTATTGTTAACCAATCATATATTCCGAATACTTCGCCCGCCGGTACAAAATACCTATATTGTTGCTGAGCAACTGACCCTATTGTTCGAATTGATCACACCTACTCATCGCGGATACCTATCTGGCCTGTGCGGCCTTCAGATCGGCCAATCAGGGAGTTTGAGTTACGAGAATTATGTTGGCGAATTCCGGTATTGTTCAATTAGATATGTTCTCAACATCTGATTGGCCCATGGGCATTTTGAAATCAACTCTAATCATGCAACCAGCCAATGAACAGTTGCCGTGAGCCTCGATTCTTGCCTCAATCGTGACTTCTATTCTCATTATCATATCTTTTCTCATCTTGGTACATATTACCGAGTCTCCATTGAGCTTCACAATCACCCAGCTAACCAAGTATTATGTATATATGTATGCCCTTCCTCCCAGACCTCCCATTGATTCTCATTTCTTCCCTTCTATAACTTCACTCACTTTCTATTACAGTGCTCGTTTCATCACGATATCACCTCCCATACAACCTTTTTCTGCTCTTTTGCTCCACATCGTCATCTGCTTCATTCAGCTGAGCTCCGTCCCTTGTCCGCATCTTACTGTTTCAGTCACGCTTCCACCTTCGTCGCTGTCATGGCTGTTCCAGCGCAGAATGTTACGATGCCCTGGCAATACGCTTGGAGTCTCTTTGGCATCCAATTGAACGGATACTCCAGAGTTATAACCATCAACACGGAAATATTTCATAACCTTGGCGATGAGGGTAGAGCATCGTTCCAACACATGGCGAGGTACTTTTTTCCTTTCCTATCCTCTCTCTAACATTACCACATCCTCTTCATTTCGCCCAACTAGGGAAATTGTTGTAATTTCATCACTACCTCCTAGAGCCGACCCCCAGTTGTCGTTGTGTTAAGTTGCTGATGTAGATATTATTTGTAGCGAAACACTTGGTATGCAGACACAGTCCATTCAAGATGGAACGCTTGCTGAGCGTGTCTACCTTGCACATCCTATGGACCTGCAATACCAGTTCCCGCTCGCAGTCGAGTGTGCTTCGGGAATGTCGCTGCCTGTAGCGTATCCAGCTCTGCACCACAACATGATGCAACCAGCGCGAATTAGTGCCCACCAAACCTGCAGCCTTCAGCCAGCTCTTCCGATACATTCGAATCAGCATATGTATCCCAATACACCTACCAGTGATCCAAGTTCTGCCTCACACAAACGAAAGAGGTCCGCGAGCATCGAGAGTAGCATTTCCCTCGGCCAGTCTGAGCCGGGCTAGTATCCCTCCCACTTCCGTGGTGAGATGCTGAATACTCGAGATGAGCGCGACTCTGAAGTGAATAACGAGGAATTGCCTTTAAAGAAGTCGAGAAAGGGCAAGGAACCAGAGGGGTTGCCTTCAAAGAAGTCGAGAACGGGCAAGGAACCAGAGGGATTGAGCGGCAAGAAGAGACCCATGAACGCCTTCATCCTCTTTCGAAACGCACGAGGCCAAGAGGTGAGGGCAAAGTACCCCAGGTTCAAGACCAGAAATGGTATAATCTGTAAGTATATGTGCCTACTCTCGTCAGAAACTTGCATGTTCTCTAACACCGAGTCTAGCCAAGATCATCGCCATTATGTGGGCAGCAATGACAGATGCTGAGCAGCAACCATGGTTTGACGAGTACCTTCAGCTAAGACGTCTAGAACCTGATTTCAAGGATGTCAATGGCAGACAAAACTCTCGCCGAAGGAAGTTACGCAAGGAAGCGGATCGTTTGAAGGCCGTGGCTCAGCTCCAGCTGATTCAACAACAATATTCCAACGGCGAAGAGCTCACATTCTCTGAGGGCCCCAGTGAGATGGCTCAGTCACAAGAGGAAGCACAAATCCAGCTTGGCACTCCACTCAACAATTTAGACGATCCAAATGAGATGCTGCAGGGACATGAGCAAGCAGAAGTCCAGCTCGGCACGCCTTTGGGCGATATCAATGAGCGACCTGCTGAGCTAGCACAAACATTGGACGTCCTGCCAAGACCGGCTGGTTTTGTTGTCGAAGCGAACCGAGATCTCGACTTCAACTCGACCCCCGACGCTGCCTTCAATCCACAGGTTAACCAGCATCCTGATCACCAACACGAAGCCACGGCTCACCACGAGAGTCCCATTGATGATCTTCGACTCTTCGGTCAAGATTTAGAATTTATCTTTGACATGGGGAAGTGCTTTGATTTCAACAAAGAATAAGCCTCTCTCTACCCGCTGTCAATTGAATGACAAGGTACATATGTTTGGTCGTGGGAGGCATTGCATATCGAGATATGGTGGCATGTACTCAAATATGAGAATCTCCTATGTATCTAAAGAAAGTGCCACTAAAGGTGTCAAGATGGAAAATCTTACGTATATAAGTGGTATATGTACTGACGAGATTGTGCTGTGGAAGATGTACTTCACTTATGTATAGTGGAAATGATGAGCTTTGACCTGTGAGCTACTTGGGTGGGGGGTGGAATAATATTATAGGGATTTGCTGCTCAAGTGGTATAGCATAATTCTCTATTTCGTTTGATCTAATTTATCGCGCTGCTCTTTGGCCCTCCAGCCATCATCATTTACAACTATCACGACCAGTACTTATACTCTAAGGCGCCCATTCTCGACCAACTTGACCCAGAACTTCAAGAGCGTCTTTCGGTGTAGATTCAGAGACCTTATCCCCGGCATTAGTCTTGACGGTTAAGTCTTGATACAATAGTCTTTAAGGGGTCGAACAACTCCAACACTCTGCGCGCGACCCTGCCAAGTGATGCTTAAGAGACATGAACCGCGGTCTCCTTTTGAGTTATGTTCATGTACTCCTAAAACTCTGCTAGTCATTAGCGTACTACTTCTCATCCTAGAGCATTTCAAGATTTATACTCAACAGGCGAAAGAGCAATGGAGAAGTCTTTTTTTTTTCGGATGCTCGAATATTACATAGATAGCATGTTTCTCGGAATGAATCAAATCGCCGAGTTTCGCCGTGCAATCCCATCTCGAAAATATATCGCCATGAAGTAGAAAAGTCTCAAGATCGAACAAATAAGTAGCATATTCGAGGACTTCCTCGGCACCTCAACTAGCTGAACTTGATTAATATGTCAATTAAGACAATGAGTTGGCTCACGGAAGACGCCTACCCAGATGGAGTCAACGATCGCCAAATGAGAACACTTGTCAGGGGTCTCGGGACGGAGGAAGAAAGAGATACACTGTATATAGTCAGAGAAGTCTGAAGGCATTCAGACTTCTAACCTTTTAGACCTTATGCCACATTGAGATTCTTGCCGTATACTTTGTACAGCCCTTTTAACATCACTCCTTAAATGAGACTCGCGGGCGAGAGCAGCAGCGATAATTCAAAGGCAAAAAACAAGGGAAGCAATTATAAGTATACAGGTACTTAAGAAATAGTTAGAATATGTTATACTGCTAGGTTAACAGCTGCTAAAATGATCAACAAAACCATAATATGAAACCCTAAACTCGTGGGAAAATCTACATAGAACTTGTGCTACAATGAGTCTAACTCATTTCTTTGCTTTGGCTTTTGACAGCTTTGGCTTTACAGCTTTGGCTTTACAGCTTTGGCTTTACAGCTTTGGCTTTACAGCTTTGGCTTTACAGCTTTGGCTTTACAGCTTTGGCTTTACAGCTTTGGCTTTA